ATGTTTTATGATTTAAATAATTATAAGCTTTTCACAACACCCTTGCAGTTCCTTCCCGAACCATGTTGTTGTTAAAAAAGAAAACATTTTCTTTCACTTTTTATTTTTATATCAATATACAATTTTGTCCTATTCAAATGTTTTATTAATCAGGATTTACTAAAGACAGACCGTGTAAAATTAGTGCTGAAAAGGCGTGGGCACAGTTATTTTTGTTTGCATATGCTGTATGCATTTATATATGAGTTTCCCTTTCAGGTGCAACATTTATGGGAGGAAATCATTTAAATGAATACAATGTGATTAAAAAAAAAAATTATGGGAACCCCTAAAAGGTTCTTTATGAAGCACCTGACAGAACCCTAGAACCTTTTTGCAGTCATTCTACAACATTTAGGTCAAGTTAGGGGGAGGACATGGAATGGAAAGTGGGATTTCATGATGCAATTGTGTGGTGATATTAGAAACAGGTAAATAAAAGGAACTGAGCAAAACAAAATGAAGAAAACTTGTGCAATTTTTTTTTTGCCTTGCTCAGATATGTGTTGTGCAACGCAACAAAGAAAAACTCATCCACTTTAGACAGGCTTCAGGCTTTAACAATATCAAAGTTTAAATTTCATATAGCCTTGATCATAATTCAATGTTTGCTTTGAAAGGAGTGAGTAGTGGAAAGAATCATAAGAGGAGAATAATCAACATTATTTCACTTAGTTTTAATATCCATAAGCATGAAGAAGATCTGAGACCTAATGGGGTAAATTATTAGTTTTAGCTGCTGATCACCTGCTTTTATCATTTTTTTTTTTTTTAGCATACATTGATCCAGTTAAATAAAGTTATGTGCTGCATATTAATACAGAATGTATGTGCTGTTTGCATGCATGTTGATCTTCAATACAAATAGTAATCCATTACTCTAAATTACATGATGAAAGTTGTAGTTTGTAACATAATCTATTACATTACATATGCCATGTATCAAGTCTATTACAATACTCTTATGTTCCCCTTGTCTTGTGTGGACTTTTGTTATATCTCGTTCTGTGCCATGTTTTGTAGTTTGTGTTTCCTTATTAATTAAGTTGTTTGCCCCTGTGTATGTATAGCCCTTGTGTTTGACTTGTTACTTCGTCAGTTGTTGTAAATGTAATGGTTGCTTCTGTCTCTGTGATCCTTTTGGTTTTGTTCTTTGTTCTGAGTTATGTGTTATCTTATTATTATAATTTTTTTTTGATAGTTTTAGATTAGTTTTGACCTTACTTGTTTATAACATGCGTTCCACCTGTTTTCACAATACAATTTTCTTAATGGTTTCTGCAAAACTCTACGTTTCCTTCTCATCACAAAATCCATTTCCCACAGCTGTGTCATTGACTTGTGTGATTACCATAGTGTTGGAATCCACGTGTACCAGATGTGATCATGTCATTACCTTGTTTTCTCATGTTATGTTTTTTTTTTTTGACACTTTCTTGTTTTCATGGATTTCCCTGTTTGTCTGTGTTTTGCACTCTGGATTGTTTTCCCCGTGGTTATTGACCCTTTGGCAGTTTTTCGATTGGTTACCCTCAATAAAGATACGTTTGTATCTTCACCCATGTGTCAGAGCAACGCTTTATAGATGTTTATGTGCTTTAGAAAATGCATCCTACACTGGAGAGAGATCTGAAAGAATCATCATATACTAGCCTATTTACAGTACAATTACAGTAAACAAAAGTACTTTAAATGAGGGAAATTTCACTAGGCTACTGTAGAACGCTATAGCCTACACCCACAAACTCTAACTCAAACTCATTTTGTCAAATTTAGCCAGGCTTTTTTTTTTTTTTTGCCTTATCTTTGCAGTAGGCCTACTGAGAACAATTATTTTGTCAGAGGACCAAGAAACTGCTATAGTGCTGTATAGTATAATGAAATATGGCTGAAGTTGCAGAGGATGCTGCTGATATTTTTAGTAAATTTTAGGGGAGAACCGGGGCGAAAGTAAAACCTTTTTTAATTACAAGTTGTTTTTTTCGTTTCATGTGTCACACAGTAATGATCAATAGGTTATTTAGTGCTGTAACACATCCTGAATTTTGCCTGGTTAGAGTTTTTCAGGATACAAATCGGGTTTAAATGTCAGGAGTTCCTGTCGGGACGAAAGTAACACTCGTTAATGTTAGCCTACTATAGGAAAAACAAGTGTATGGCATTTGACCTTTTCTTTTCTTTTGAACTTATCAACTGTAAGATCAATATGTTTTTGACTATACAAACCTTGCTATATTATACAATTGTCTCTGTACAGGGTTTTGACCCCCCCCCACACACACACACCCTTCCATTGCGCATCATTTAAAATGTATTTATTTACAATTATTAATATGTTGTGCTTACTGTAGGCTATACTGTAAGTTTTGTTTGTTGGCGCCATCTAGTGGAATATTCTTCATCATTATACAAATAATTTTTTTGAAGAAAATGGGTTTTATAGCATGATATCATGGGATGGGAGTCTATTATGATTCCATAAAAGGACTTCCATTGATCCTAAATATTGTTTAGTTCATAGGAAAGGCTCTATGATCAATATGTGGTGAATTAAATAACCACTTTTGTACTTTTACCCAGTTAAAGCTATAATTTCTAATACACTGACCTGAGGACCTTAATGAACAAGCTAAAAACAAAATATATACATGCAATTCAAAGAAAATGGCTTTTTAATAAACTTAAGGATCTGCAAAGTATCAAAAGAACCTTTATTTTGTGCACCATTTTCCCAATATGGGCCATTCAGAATTGGTTCAACGTCAGAGTTGTAGGCCTTTTGACATTATTATTATTTTTTTTCCACAAATTGTTTATGTATGCAAATTGTAAAACATCCAAGGTACACATTTCTAGCAATTGTGCAGTTAATTATCCTATTGTATTTTTAGAACGTTTTGGAATATTTTTATCTCTCCCCAAATTTGTCACCGAAACACACCAGTAAATAAGTTAATAAGAAGGCTTATATTGACCTATTAATATTTAGTTTACATCTACCTTGTAAATATATTTTTTGCTATTTAAAAAAAAAATCACATGTAAATCAATAACAATTACAATTTTAACAATATTTCAAATGTAATTTATAAGATTTGTTGTATTTAATTAGAACCCAATCTTTCTTTGTAAAAGGCAATAAGTTAATCATACTGATTTCAAAGTTAAGGATTCATTTGTTAGAATATACATTGAACAAATACTGTTAATAGACTATAATAACATCTTAGTTTATAATTCAGTATACTTTATTTTAGACAAAACAGGCATGTTTCGGTCGTGACGCCACATTTTCTGTACTTTCAGGAATGTTTTTGATACCGACCACTTCATACAGAATTTTAACTTGCACACTAACACTATTAAAACATACTAAGATACTAATGATTTACATAACTGTACTAAAATTGTGTTTATTTCCCCAAAATAAATGATTATGTGTTCCCTTTTGTCACTACCAAAACACTATGTCAACTTGAGAAAAGGAGTAACTTTTGTATTTGAAGATGATGTGCAGCTTTTTATTTTTATTCCCCCTTAGTACATAAAAATGTACTACAACATCCAGGCAACAGCTTCATTAAAACCTTTGGTTAGACTATTAACAACTGCTGTAAATCGTACAAATACTACAAAAGGCTACTACAAAGGCTCTAACAAACTCTACAAATAGCTCATTTATCCTCTGTGCTTCACCAGTTCTAACCTGAATTAATTGAAACTTTAAATTATTCTCTAGATTTTAATGAGTTCACTCTATTTTACTCTGTTGTACAATTTGTACATCACCACCGCTGTACGGCTCAGGCTATTAAGTAATAAAACCAGACCGACATTTTGTAATTATATATACCACTAGCAGCCTGCTAACATACAATCATTCCAATGTATTCTACAATTAGCCTAATGCACAGTTCATGCAGGATAATAATTAGTTTGATTATGATATCCCAATATCCCAAGAGAAGAAATTGAACCTCATTAGGCCTGTGGTTTCTTAAAAATGTTTATTTCAAGATGATGTCTCAAACCTTTTTGCCATTTTACATCATATAAACCCCATACATGTTCATGTCCGAATCTGTCCACAAACACACAACTCTGCCATCCATCATAAACTGAACACACAAGCGTTTATTATCAATTAGGTGCCTCTCTTTGAGGGCAGTATCTGATCTGTCACCAAAGAATACATTGCCATTATGCCCCAAGTTTCTCTATGTACAGATAGTTACAATCCTGTGAAAACTAAAGAGAGATAAAGAGCTGCTGGTTAAAAAAAATTGGGTGACACTTTACAATAAGGTTCATTTATTTAACATTAGTTAATGTATTAACTAATACGAGCTAATCATAACCATTTTGTTAATCTTTGTTAACGTACAAATCCAGCTGTTCATTGTTTGTTCAGGTTAGTTCACAATGCATTAACTAACGTTTTAAAAAGTTATTAGTAAATGTTGAAATTAAAATGAACAAAGATTAACAAATGCTGTAGAAGTATTGTTCATTCTTAGTTAATGTTAACTAATTTAGTTAACTAACCTTATTGTAAAGTGTTACCAAAAATTGGACCTTATTTGGTCTCAGAGATGAGGGAAAGGGAAGTGTACAAAGACAGGATGACAAAGTGCTCATAGTCACAAAAAACACAGATTAAAAATTCTCTGAAACAGAGACATAATAGCTTGCAAATTTAGCACAGCTTATCGCATCTTAAAAATTGAATACTGTTTTTTTAAATGATCATACAATATCATACCACCATTTTCCATCTTTGGGGGAAAAAAAACGTATATATTCAGGCAGTCTGAACTTACAGAACTTCCCATGATTTTTTTTTTAATCTATTTTGAGTTTATGATTTATTTACATTATATAAATTCATGAAAACAATGCCAATTTTAAATGAGTCACTGCAAAAGCACTGCATTACTAATGTTGTTTTTAGAATACAAAGGTTTTATAAAGGTGATTAAAGCAACCGATATAATGAGAGATCACATTCGGAGCAAATCCTTGAGCGAAACATCAAGGAAAATTGGGCTGAAATGGCCACACAATGTTCTTAAATGGCATACAATATATGAGGTTGTCATTGGGCCTAATTCAATAGTCCTCTTGCGTTATTCTCACATTCTTGGCCAATGTCTTCATCACTGTTTGTGACCATCTCCTTTGGGCTGGAATCACTAGGATTGGTTTTATTTTTCTCCCTTTTTTTGTCCAGCTTGGGATTTGTTGTCTCTGCAACAGAAGCATTTAAGACAAAACATTTGACTTTACATGAAACCTTAAACACGTTATCCTTATCCTTAAAGGAATACTCCACTTTTTTTGGAAATAGGCTAATTTTACAACTCCCCCAGTTGGGTTTTACCGTTTTCGAATCCATTCAGCCGATTTTCCGATATTACTATTGGTAACCAGAAAGTTTCTGGTCTCATTGACTAGTAGGAAAAAATATATACCATGGTAGTCAATGAGACCAGAAACTGTCTGGTTACTGATATTCTTCTAAATATCAGAAAATTGGCTGAATGGATTCGAAAACGGTAAAACTCAACTGTTCAACTCTGAGGGAGTTGTAAAATGAGCCTATTTCCAAAAAAAGTGGAGTATCCCTTTAAGAGACGCTATTTCAAGTGGGTTGCACTGATTATCTATTTGCATCCGTCAGAATTACTGAACTTCCACATATTTTAATAAGCATTTTATCTAAATCTGGACAAGGCAAAGCATGCATTTTGAATTACCATCTAGATTAAAATGATCGCCACCAATTGCTTCACTGCTTCCAACAGCATCATTGTCTTCCTCACTGAGTTCCACTATTCGCTGTCTTGCACTCTCAAAAACAGATTTCAAAACAATGGAGTCTTCAAAGATCTAAGATATAGAGAGACATTTAACAACGCCATATTCACTGATAAAAAACAGTTTTTTGCCTTGCAAAAATATTTAGACCCACTTATCACACCTGTTAACTGCTAAAGTAATTGTTTTAATGTTTAACGTGAATATGAACATAATGTAAAAAGTGTTAAAGTGATAGTTCACCCAAAATCATTTCCTCACCCTCAAGTTATTCTAAACCTGTACACATTTATTTGTTCTGCTGAACACGAAGGAAGATACGTTGAAGAAAGGTTGTAACCTTTAGCTAAGTTGAGGCACCATTGAAAAAAACAACAACTGTTCAGTTTCTCACATTCTTTAAAATATCTTCCTTTGTGTTCAACAGAACAAAGAAATGTATACAGGTTTGGAACATAGATAGGTCAAAAGGTCATAGATGTTTGACCCAATGACCCAAGAACATGTTCTTCAGGCACACCTGAGATCCTTCCAGATTAAACGTCTGAGCGTTGTGACACATCTGCATGATATCCTTTTCCAGGTCTGCAATGCACCTGTATTTGTGATTACGCACTCTCTCCTGCATATGCAAAACCAGGATCAATTCAAAGGAATTTGTTTAAGAGAGCAGAAGAAGGAAACAAACATCATACACACATTTCCTGCTTTATCCATTTCAATGCAAACACCTACGGGACATTAAAAGTAATGTTTTTTTTTTATTTTTTATTTTTTTATCGAATGTGTAAAAATTTAATCACTTTAAAACTCAATCAGCAACTTGTGTGACAAAAGCAAAATGAATGTGTTTCTTGAGCTGAAAGGGGTGTCAGTGTGGAGTGAAAGGGAGTGATGGAAACAGAAGGTGAGATTTGTGTAATTGGTAGCGATTCAAATTCACCCTGATCCTCCTGAAGTCGACTGGCTTGCGGATGAGCTCGTAATACTCTGGCACCTCTTTTCTTGACGGCAGCTGGACGAAACCTTTACTGATCTGTCGACCCAACCTGTAGAACGGAGGTGTGTTCAAGAAAAGGCACAAAAAAGAGCTGTTACTCATTTTATTGTGGTGTCTGATGGTTGAAGTACACGTGCTCAAACTCAAATGAACTCGTATGAACTCAAAACTTACAATTTTTTTTGTAAATCGTCACGATTTATTTGTCATGAAATAAAAACAGAACAACCAATTGAGTGTGTTTAAGTACTGACGTGTCCTTGTAGTTGATGACCATGTCTACGATGGTGTTCATCTGTTTTGTGAGCTTGGGAGGGTTGGGGGGCAGCTTCTCGGCAGGAGGGCGGCCCCGTCGCTTTTTTACTTTCTCCACCACCTCCTGACCAGTTTCAGAGCCCTGGTTGCCTTGATCGCTTTTTCGTTTCTTCAACTTGCTTTCCTCCTCCATAACCTCAGACACTCCGTTTTGGATCGCCTGAGACTGAGGAGAAGACGTGATCCATGGGAACACTGATGAGCACTACTGGATGTGACAGAAATCGGGATTTGGACATGAACTGGAACTGAAAAGTATCCTCACTATGACATTCTAAGATAAAAAATAAAATAATTCATTTAATTGTCTTAATGTTAGCCAAAGAGAAGGGATGTTTTGTTCATTTTATTTAGGCTAAATTGATTTTATTAGAAAAGGTGTATGAACTAATAATGAATAATTCTCGTATAGAGCATTTAATAATCCAGGTAACTGTTAACTTACTGCTCATTGTAAATTCATGTTCTTTCATAATACAATACTAATAAATGAACCTAATTTAACAAATAAAATAGCTGTTCATTAATGGTACCTAATGCATTAACAAATGCAAAGTAAAGAGGTCCTGAGTTATAGTTTACATGATATTTGCATTGATGTATTTTAAACACGCTTAAAAATAAAGTTTCCAAAGTTTTTTTTTTTTTTTTTGCAGCGAATAGGCTACCATAGAATAGACTAGTTAGTCTATTTTTGTTCTTTCTTTAATCTAAAGAACATTTTGTGCAGTGGAAAGGTTCAATGTTAAAAGCTTCATCACGGAACCACGGCTGTGAATAAAATAATCTTTATTTTTAAGAGTGAATAACAATCAAACCAAGATAGTTAACATTAAATAACTAAGCAGTTTAATAAACTTTTGGCCTTTCATCCTACCACTTCCAGGTCCAAATTGACACATCATTATCTTCTTGGCTGTATGTCTCACCAGGCAAGATGCCGTCACTCTTCAGTCCCTCTAACACGAACAGCTGCTTTCACCTCCATTTAATATTTGATAAAGCATCACTTAGCAATATATTACGAGCTCGTACCACGCACGGGTTTTTGGGGAGGCAAGATGCTGGTACACTGAACTTCACTCCGATTGTGAATGAAGTGATTGACGTTTGACATTAACCATACAGCGTCCACTGAACGTGTTCCAGTAAACACGAGACGAGCCTCCACGCCGCCGCTTATGAACATGCACACGCCTCACGTGTGAGAATAAGCAAAAGCATAATTCACTGTATGTGTGCGCGCGCGCTGCCGAGTCTGTGTTTTACACAAAGGCAATTTAAGTGCAGGCATAGCAAGTGCTGGCGCAGAGAGAGGGATAAAAATATGAATTCTGAGTATGACGCTATGCGGGCAGCGCCATCCATTGATGTCTACATCAAACACACACACACACACACACCCGCGCGCACACACACAACGCTCAAATACTTAAAACGCACAGAAATCATACAAAACAATACGCAAATGTAGAGAGAGAGAAAACAAGAGAGAGAGAACAGCCCCTCACAGTACGCGAGCATTCCATGCAAACATCCTCAACAGGGGCGTAAGAGAAATGTGAAAGCGCGAGCAAACACACGGAAAGCATTTATTCACACGTACCCCAGGGGACCATGTGGAAGGAAGGAGGCCTAATAATCAACACAATAATAATGGAATGCAGAATGCACACACACGCCTGCATGCACAGGGGCACAACTGAACCGCTGCACACAAAACATGCAGGGGAAAAAGCACATTCTGAAAAGTCTATCTTTGGTGCAACATGCAAAAAAACCAAACAAAAAAAACAAAACAAAAAAACAACAAACAAACAAACTTGTTACACTAGACAAGCCTGTTCCCATAACCTCTAGAAAGAAAAAAAAATAGTTGTCAGGGCGCACACAACCGATTTGTCTGGGAAATGTTTTCCTTCAGCAGACACAGATCACACCTACCTACACACACACACACACACACACACACACACACACACACATTCCCTCTCTCACTTTCTGTTTGTGTGCCCATGTGCTGAAGCCTGGTGTGATTGTGTGCTCATATGCGCAGGAGAGAGAGCAAGTGAGTAGGAGAGAGAGGGTGAGAAAGAGAGAGAGAGGGTGAGAGAGTGAGTGAGAGAGAGAAAGCAAGAGGGCGATTTACCTGACTGTGGTCTCCAGGCTGGCTCCAGTCTGGAGGAGAGAGAATTAGCAAACCAGCATTGCAGCGCGCAGCCAGTCTCTTCATCAGCTGATCACTCAAAACGCACAGCCCAAAAGGGGGGCGAAAAGCGCCCAGCTTTTCATACACAAATCAATTGCCGTTAGGATGTTGAGAGAGAGAGAGAGAGAGAGAGAGAGAGAGAGAGAGAGAGAGAGAGAGAGAGAGAGAGAGAGAGAGAGAGAGAGAGAGAGAGAGAGAGAGGAGAACTGCGAGAAGCCTTTCTGTTAGTTTGTCCCCGTGGAAAGGCCTGCAGCTCGTTTTCCTCTCTCTCTCTCTCTCTCTCTCTCTCCCCCCTCTTTCTCTATCTCTCTCTCCTTTTCTCTCTCACTCACTGCATGTTTTAATATCGACTGTCGCAATCTGGTTTCTTTTCCTTTTTTTTCATTTTCCCCTCTCCCTCTCTTTTATGCTCTCGTTCAGTCTTTTTTAAACGCCCCTCTGTTAAAAGAACCGGGCTCCATTTTTGTGCCTATGCAGATGGTTTTTTGCAAGCTTTTCTGACATCTTGTGAGGATTCCAGGGTAGTTGCATATATTGTGTTGCTCTCTCTCTCTCTCTCTCTCTCTCTCTCTCTCTCTCTCTCTCTCTCTCTCTCTCTCTCTCTCTCTCTCTCTCACACACACACACACACACACACACACACACATTGGCCAATGACATGTTTGTGTCTGGTAGCTTTTAAAACATAAAAGAGCATAGAGATTTTGGTGAAATCACGTGGGGCTATAAATATTACCAGATAGTCTAAAACATAACAGTTTCTGTCTGCTTCCCAATGAGAATCGAAAATTCTAACTTATAAAGTAGCTTCAAAGCAGCTCAAAGTCATGCCTTATACTTAATTATTTGTATGCTGTATAATTGTAAGGGGGTCAGCAGAATTCTATTCTTGGTCAAATATGATCGGTGGATGTCAGACCTGAGAGATGTAATGCTGTGCCAGAATTGGGACAGGTGTGAGATGTTATGCATTTTTTATTCACTCAAGTCTGTTTATCATTAACTAAAGAAATAATAAACAGTAGATCATATAGAAATACAATAAATGGACCTTGAGATAAAGCTGATGAATGTGTGTCAGGGTCACATACACATAGTGTTTTGCTACTAGAAATTAATCTTAACAGTATAGTATAAGAGCAAATAACATTTTTACAAGAATAAGTAACTTAATCATAACTCAACATAATATCATGTGCTATTTTGTAAACTGATTTTAAATTTATTGTGAAAGTTCAGTTTAAAAAAAAAAATTGCCAACATTTCCAATGAGGTTACATTGGGAAATCCCTGTACGGTGTCATATTTCTACATGAGTGAAATATGCCTCTCAGGTGTCCATTTAAAATAAGATGCAGTTTTAAGATGCAACATTGTTCATGTAGCTATATTTGCCATGGCAACAGCTTCATTATAGAATCCATTGTTTAATTAATCAAACACGTTTATCAAATGTAATCAAATATCTGACAAGCGTCTGAGAAGTATTGAAATGTTGTTTGACCATGGAAGAGCAGATTATTAGTGTGCTGTAGTATGATTACATGCTGTCATAATTTTACATTTCATATGCATGTTTTGCTATCAGGTCGACAAGGGCATTTCGGTAAAACATCTCAGGCGGTTACTATGGCAACACCACGTTTTACTGGCTGCAGACCGCACTGAGCTGTAATGCTATAGCATTTCATCACAAAACACAGACACACACTTTGTCGTACAGACACGCTGAGCTGAACATTCTCAAACACAATGAACCACTGAGCTGCATAGAAATGAGACAGAATCCACTAAAATGAACTAAAATAAGAGATGTGTTGAAGTTAAGGTAATTGCATGCATCTACAGTATATAAGTGACGTATCATGTATCTGTACTCAAAAACATAAGACATACATGACAAGACACCATGTTTTGTTACACAAAAGACAAAAAAAGTAATCTTCTAACCTAACCTCTATAAATGCAGCCTTCTAAATTCATTTCTCACCACAAGTTTGCTGTCTTTTATCTGACAGCCATCTATTTCCCCTTTCCCCTGATTCTACAAAATAAGTAGAATGTCAGCTGTTGTCCTTTTAACATTTGTTATTCTCTCTTTATTCTTAAAGAAAAGTGCCCTTCATTTTGTGAACAATCTCTTTTATTATGTTAACAATTGCAAACATGATTGTCTAACCTCAAAAATGGGTGCAGACTGATTGCCACCGCAATAATATCATTTGACAGAATAGCTCACATAAGAATCAATGAATAAAAAAAAAAAAAAATGTGTCATCAGTCACTCACCTCATGCGGTTTCAGACCTGTAAGACTTTTTTTTTTCAGTGAAGCACAAAATAATTACTTTTGAAAAATTACAGTTACAATAAATGGGTAATTAATCCTATCTATATATAGGTCTATCTATATATCTAAATCGCCTGTGAGCAGACACTAGCAGAGGCCGGTCAAATGAACTCATCACCGGCTGTGCTAAGAAGGCCAGGTGTGTTTTCAAAAGTAACATTCTCCATTTTTCTATTTTTTTATTTTTATTATCATTATAGTCAAGTCACCTTCATTTATGGGCTAGCGGTTTTTACAATTAAGATGCTTGGAATTAAAATGTATTAGTTCACAATGCATTAACTAATGTTAACAGGATTTTATTAAAGCATTAGTAAATGTTGAAATAAACATTAACAAAGATTAACAAATGCTGTAGAAGTATTGTTCATTCTTAGTTAATGTTAACTAATGTAGTTAACCAATGAACCTTATTGTAAAGTGTTACCGATTCTTCTTTCAAAATCATTAAAAATAGTAATGTGTCCAAACCTTGACCAGTACATATACACTGAACAAAATTATAAACGTAACACTTTTGTTTTTCCCCCATTTTTCAAAGATCTAAGACTTTTCTATGTAACAAAAGACCTATTTCTCTCAACTATTGTTCACAATCTGTCTAAATTTTTGTTAGTGACTCCATCCACCTCACAGGTGTGGCATATTAAGATGCTGATTAGACAACATGATTATTGCACACTCCTCTTCAATGGCTGTGCAAAGTTGCTGGATATTGGCAGGACCTGGAAACACACTGTCATATACACCGATCCAGAGCATCCCAAACATGCTCAATGGGTGACATGTCATGTGTCCTGTATGCTGGCATATGCAAAAACTGGGATGTTTTCAGCTTACAGGATATATATATATATATATATATATATATTATCAAGCTGCAACATGAGGTGATGGTCGTGGATGACTGGCACAATGGGCCTCAGGATCTCTTCACGGTATCTCTGTGCATTCAAAATGCCATCACTAAAATGCAATAAAATGTATTCATTGTCCATAACATATGCCTTCCCATACCATAACCCCATCGTCACCATGGGCCACTCGATCCACAACATTGACATCAGAAAACCGCTCACCCACACGACACCATACACAATGTCTGCCATCTGCCCTGTACAGTGAAAACTGAGATTCATTCGTGAAGAGAACACCTCTCCAAAGTGCCAGGCACCATCTAATGTGAGCAACTGCAGTCAGGTTGAGACCCCGATGAGGACGATGAGCATGCAGATGAGCTTCCCTGAGATGGTTTCTGACAGTTCATGCAGAAATTCTTTGGTTATGCAAACCGATTTTTGGAGCAGCTGTCCGGGTGGCTGGTCTCAGATGATCTTGGAGGTGAAGATGCTAGATGTTGAGGTCCTGGGCTGGTGTGGTTACACATGGTCTGCGATTGTGAGGCCGGTTGGATGTACTGCCAAATTCTCTGAAACACCTTTGGAGACGGGTTATGGTAGAGAAATGAACATTCAATTCACAGGCAACAGCTCTGGTGGACATTGCTGCAGTCAGCATGCCAATTGCGCGCTCCCTTAAAACTTGCAACATCTGTGGCATTGTTTTAGAGTGGCCTTTTTATTGTGGCCAGCCTAAGGCACACCTGCACAATAATCATGCTGTCTAATCAGCATCTTGATATGGATAGATTATCTCAGGAAAGGAGAAGTGCTCACTAATACACAGATTTAGACAGATCTGTGAACAATTTTTGAGAGAAATAGGCCTTTTGTGTACGTAGAAAAAGTCTTTGACTTCAGCTCATGAAAATGGGGGCAAAAACAAAAGTGTTTACAAAAAACGTACAATTTTGTTCAGGATACTTATATATAATATAATATAATATAATATAATATTTATATACACACACCCTTTTCCCCTTTCTTTTTACATTTGAGTCCCTTGCACGTCCCTGTAGAGCTGCTGCTGGTAGCTAACTGACCCCTTGTTATAACACTCCCCTTTCTCCCCTAATGTTTAATTATCATAGACTGTAAAAAATAGATGTTTGCATGGTAATTTCATGGTTATGTGTAATGTACTGTACAATTGTCTGGTCAGTATATCTTTACCTGCTGTCTTCCAACGCATATGCAGGTGTTGACCTTGATAAAGACCTTCTTCATCAATAACAAACAATAGATTGCAGGTTTGTTTTTTTTTAATAATTGTAAGTAAATCCACTTCATCCAGTGCTCTTATTGTTCCCTGTTATTGTTAAAGTGTCCTGTTAACCGCCTCACGAAGTGAGAAACAATTAATCGAGTCTGTGTTGAGCTGTTGAGCAAAAAGATTCTGATTAATTTGAAAAAAATAAATAAATAAAAAAATAATTAATGAATGATTGCAAAACACTGTTTTAGTTGTTGTTGTTTTTTGTTTTCCTATATTCCACCTTTATTATAAATAATAATAATCATATTTTTGGCAAATTTGTTCTTAAGAGATGCAACTCTGCACCACACCACAAACGTCCATTGATCACCTGCAGTTCAGCTTTTCACCATTAGATGGCGTCATAACCATTCAGATCTAAAATACTAGGCAACAAGATAGGAAAGTATAGCATTTTTTTTTTTAAATAAACACAAGGTGGTGATGCACATATTTATTTACGGATATATGAAGATGATATTTACATTTAATACATTTTTATAAAGAGTTTTTAAAATCTAGATTTTAGATTTTGAAATGCATAGAACAAGTGGAATATATATTACAAGAAATTAAATCAAGCTTTTAAAAGTAAAATAAATTGTATACAGTATCATAAAGTCCATATAATTTATATATTTTACCTAAAATGAATACATAAAACTGTTTTGACATGCAGTTTTCTAAGTAGACCATTAAGTATAACCGTTGAATTTAAAATATGTCTTTATTCGTAAAACTGCATAACATTTTTATATTTGAGAAAGATAACTACCAACAGTTAGTGCACTGCATTTTTAGACCTACTGCTCTCTTTAATACTATATCTGTTTGAAGAGATAAGTCATATTCATCTCAGTCATACGACTGAACAGATTGTTCAGAGGACGATGTATGAATAGATGAAGAGCGCATGAGAAAATGTCATATTAATCAGAAAAGCTTATGCGTAAAACGGGTGGAGTTTTGCTTCGAGGGGATCCCTGTGGATGAGCATGAAAACAGCTGTCCTGCTAATTTGAGTACTTGGTGGCATAAAGTCAAATGCTATGAGAGAGTACAGGCATAGATGAGAAAGAGTCATACCCTAGGTTGGCCCTTTGAGTAGTTGACATGGGCATAGAGAAGCATAGCAATGTCTTTGTGTCCGGCCTCCAGAGCTATAGACAGAGCAGTGCTCTCATCCTATCAGCACACAGACAAAACATACCAAACAAACACAAATGGCATGTCAACAATGTCAAGAACACACATTTAAATCACAAATGAGAAGAATAATACGCATTAAAACTTTTCTGTCAGATAGCCATGTGGTTACTCACATTGTCAGTCAGGGTGGCATCACAGCCTGGCTGTGCCAGTAAGAGTTTAACAATGTCAACATGGCCGTGTTCACCAGCACACATCAGAGCGGTTGACCCCTCATCATCCTGGATGTTGACCTCTGCTCCCGCAGTCAGTAGAGCTTGGACCATATCTTTACGCCCATGACTGACTGCTAGCATGAGAGCGGTCTGACCAGCCTGTGAAGAAAACAGTCCAGTAAACACAACTGAATACTCTAGGGAGAAACAGTTTTCTTAGTTCAAATACTCATATAAACAAAGACAGATACCTGGCTGGCCTTGGCATTAACATCACCTCTGCTGAAGAGTTCTTGCACCACCATCATGTCTTCTTTTGCTTCCACAGCAGCCAGGGAGGCAAGCATTATAGGAGTATAGCCAGCCTTATTCTGATGATCAATATTACACACTCCTGCATGAGAAGGAATCAAGACCAAATTAATTATTCATCTAGACTATACACAAAACATTAAAGGAACAACCCTTTTTAACAACCAAGTGTCTCTTTGCAGTTTATTTGAACTGTGCTCTAGAAACAGATGCGTATAATATTCTAAACTACAACCATTCAAAGGGTCAGAACAATGTTTAAACTATATTTAGACTATATTTATTTGTCCAAACATACAGTATGAACAGTAATATTCTGAAATATTGTAACAATTTAAAATAACTGGGTAACACCTTATTTTAAAGTGTCATTGTTACATATGTTATGTAGTTACTATAGTAATAATAACTGTTACAAATGACATGCAACTAACCCTAAATAAAATACATATGGTGGATTCAGTGTACCTGCAGCAAGTAGAATCTTCACAACGCTGAAATTAGAGTGAGACACACTGTAGTGAAGGGCTGTGTTGCCATTTTGGTCAGCCATGTTGGCCACATAGCACAGCACGTCTGGCGAGACATGGCGGCAAGCGAAGAGGAAGTCCTCCACCATCTGTGGACATCCCCTCTTCTGACTGGACACACAGAACCACTCCTGCTGTACTGTGCTTAGACAGGAGCACTTTTGCAAAGACAAACAGAAAAAATGCAGAAAAAACTAAATCAAAAAGTTGGGTAGAGTAACATGTGAACTACATGGACACTTTTTTTATTGTTACACATTCTGAGCCAAGAACAAAATGACATGACAAATAAATGAATGCGGGCGTCACAAGCAGGCTTAAATTACTTTTAACACAGACAAAATACAGCAACGCTATAATTTTAAACTTCCCAAATCCCACAGAGTACCGAACAATCTGATCTATATGCCAGTGGGTAATTATGGGAGGAGGAGAAGACTGAGTAAACATAGAATAGATCAACAACTGACTGAAATGCAGCTCCACAATACATCATAAACTAAGTTTGGTTTGTCCTTCTTTTGCTTTCCTGTTGTTGAGTTATATATATTTTTTTTTAAACTTGAGAATTTATTCCCACACAAAGATTTTTTAACTCTTCCTGAACGTGTTGTTGTGTGTAACAAAGTGACTAGAAAAAGTAGAAGCCACTAATAATGTAGGTGAAATTAATAATTACTAAGCAAAAGCCATAGAAACAAGTCTATTAAAACATAGTGATTCAAAGTATTGAAATCCATCTCTGATAATAAAGGATATACAAAACACATTCATACAATGTGCTGTAGATGTTACAGACCCTTTTTATAAAGCCTTTACTAACTGTAGAGTAAAGAAAAATATACGGAAACGGTGAAAGAACTGACATTAGAAGACAGATCTCAGTTATTGTTCTGTTACTCACCAGTTCTCTGTTGGATATGACATTGCTACCATTAAGGTGAACCTTCAAAGTTTGGCAGGCAGAAAGCATCTTCTCACTGAATATATACCTACAGTAGAAAAGAAATGTACCGTGATAACTATGGCTGATCAGTTTCATCTTAAACTGATAAAACAAAACTTTTTCTTATGAGCATGAACCTTTCGTTTCTTTTAGGAATCTTCACTTTATCTTTGGTGCTGCCCTCTTTCTCTCTCTTTTCTCTTTTTTTCTTCTCTTCATTTTCAGAATCGCCACCCTCAGACAAGAGATCCACAATACCTCTCTGTGTACTGTATATTATTGACAGAGAGAGAGAGAGAGAGAGAGATGTATAAGTAAATATATATATATATATATATATAAACAGAGTATGCAATACACAACCAATCTGGCAAAAGAGCTCTAGCTCAACCAAACACTGCCACACTGAGCTGAATTTATTAGTAATTTAGTAAATAATGAAAACCTTTATTTACCTAGCGATGCAGTCGTTGGGTTCGTACTATCTGTGGTGCTTTTCCTTTTCATGATAGACCTAAGGCAGCGGTCATCACTGGGTGAGCCTGAAGGAAATGGATAAATGAAAAAAAATTGCATATAGTTGAAGTTCATCCCCTTATTTGGAACTAATATATACTAAAGCTACACTGTGTGATTTGTACCCCCATCTAGCGGTGAAAAGGTATATGACCATCCAGAGAAAATTAGTTTCTGTTCCTCTCAATTCAGATTTCGTTTTAACTCCTACGGTGGCCAATGTAGTCCAAGATTAACTTGGCTTCCAGTTCAACCTCGTCCATGAGTGTTACATCAAACATAATCGCGAAAGGCGAAGCTTGAATTAACGGGTATGTCCCTCTTTGGCTAATGTACTTTCAAGATGGAGGGGCAACATGGCGATCGACATTAGAACCCCTTACCCATATGTACTTTCAATGGCATATTATACACTCACGAGAATACTTTATTACTTGAACAAAGTAAATATACATTAATAAGCACATATATTTTTGAAAGAACTAAGTGTTTTTAGCTAAGAACAAAACTAAAAGAGTTACACAGTGTAGCTTTAAGAGAAGAAGCTTTGTGGAAGGGAATCATCATATCTGTAGGTCCTTGCCATGAAGAAGCTTGAAAACCCCAGAAAACATTCCCTGGCTTCTAAAGACATCATCTACGCACACACACACTTCTTTATACACCAAAAACACCTGCTAAAGGCTCTTTTTTTTCTTTAATAAGGACTACTGATACACAAGCACTGCTGCCTTTCAGAAACCATGCACAGCGCAGGCTTCCAGAGTGGATGGTATTTATGGCTGTGTCTGCCACATACCAAAGGACATTAGAGCATTCCACAAACCAACAGCAGCCCAAATATTCTAAGTGTAGGGCTTGTTCAGCCAAAAGACAAACCAGAGAGAGAGAGAGAGAGAGAGAGAAAGAGAGAGAGAGCTATCTTCACCTCCTGTTCAAATTCCACAGCAGAAAGATTGCTCTGAAAAAAAGTCTCCTCTTTTCTGCTTATTTTTGTATCATACATGCACTTTTTCGGGTGGAGTCCTTTCGACCAGTATGAAATACTTTTGCTTGCTTATTTGCGTTATCTTTGACACATAAATACAAACCATGAAGAGCAGCGGACATCTGTAATTCCATTTGATTCTTCTGTTTAACCATTGTAGCCTCATTTGATGACTGGCTTTGTGCAGTGACTGGAAATTAGAAAGAAAATTAAAGAAAGCAATTAGCTGAAGCTAATAAAGCTTCTAAATTTAAATCTGACCAAAAGTGCTTTTAAAAGATGCTTCCACAAATATACACATCCTTACCTTTAACTTGTTCATCTTGACCGTGGGACTGGAGAGTGTCCCCATGTTTTGACCCAGGGTGGCTCTCAGTTAACAGGTGCTGTTGTTCTTTAAGTAATTTCTGCATGCGATCTATATAATGATCAAGTCCAGGCTCAGTCTGCACAAACATCTGGCCCTCCGTGTCGCGTATCCTCCCGTCCCCGACTTCCACGCCGATGCTACGTGTCTTGATCGGATCTGGTAGACGGGATGGTCCACATGCAATGTTTCGTGTGTGGAGACCAATGAGGATATTCTCATTGATATTTGCCATTCCGATACCAACATCGCGTGTTATCACATTATGGACAGCAGGGGTGTCTGTGTCTCTACCCAAGCATGTTGTGGTTCCAACAGAGTGCATCTGAACAGCAGCCGTTCGGTCACAAACCTTCCCATCCCCAACCGCCAGAGATCGAGTGATCGCGTGTGCGGTGTTGGTATGTCTTTCCCTGGTGAGTGTGTGCTTTGTGTTGGTGCTGGCTTCAGAGATACAGGCCTGCAAAGTGCTGGTGCTGCGCGACACGGTGCAAAAGGCCGTGCTGGTACGCTGCGACAAAGTCTGTGGGGTTGCCATTACACTAAAGTCAATGCTTCGCACTGGGTCAGTGACAGTTCCTTGGGAAATGAGCGATTTGACAGCGATGACATCAATGTCGACCGTGCAGTCACCACAGCCCACCGTTCGGTGGGAAATGTTCTTCTTCTTTTCAATCGTCTCCACACATGTGTCACACATGTACATTGTTGTCCCAACACCTTGATTTCGTGTTGCTGCACGCTTGCTTCCAACACATTGATCTTTTCGCGCCACTCTTTGGCGTACTTCCCACTCTTCCATAGGTGTATCTGGGCCAGATGAAACAGCCCTCACCTCCGGCTTGCAGGAGACTCCAACAGCAATGGAAATCTGCTCTACTCCTCCCCCAACAGCAGAATGCACAAGGTTGGTGTGGTTTCCAACCCCAAGAGTACGAGTTTGCGACCCGGTCTGGGTTGCAACGCAGTTCACCTGTGGTTGTGCGGAGGAACTCTTGTCAGCATGGTTTCTCGCTTCTGCTTCCCGCAGTTCACTTCTTAGCTTTCCCATCTCTGCCTTTAGCATTGCTTCTTTAAGCTCAGCTTCCAGTATCTGAACCCGGTCACTTAAATGTTGGATGGTTTGCTGTTGCAACTCTGTTTCTGCTTCCTTGTTGGATACGACCCCCAGCATAGTCTCAGTGACACTGACTGCCACTGACCGAGTCTCAGGTTTTGCACCAACTGCAACATCCTTGAAGAAGTTGAATTTGTGTTGATGAATAACATCCACTTCATCAATGCACCTGTCATCTCCAACTGCAACAGACTTTTGATCTCTCGTCTTGAAGGCAGAGGATTCAAGACGTGCATCTTGGATCTTCCTTTCAAGCAGTTGCATTTCAACACTAAGCTGTTGGAAATCCGTCAGACCAGAGATGGCACCGTGCTCCCGACCCTCTATCGCTGGTTTGCTGCAGAAATCTTTGTCAATGATAGAGCCGGATTTTTGATCTTCATCTTGCCTCTTGACCAAGGCTGTCAGTTGTCTCTTTTCTTCCTGCAAAACAGAAATCTTCACCTGTAGGACAGGAATGGCCTTCACTTGTTCCTCCAGGTCCTTTAACCTTCGTAAAGCAGCTGCCATCTGATCCCTGACCATCTGCAGGTGGAGTGGGCTCACACCGCTCACTGGAGATGCTCGGCCAGAGCTTGAGGGGCTGATTTTAAGGGTGTTGCCCAATAACAAGGAACTTTTTGGGGGCTGGTCTAGCACTGTCATCTTAGCACCTTGATTTAGGGCACTCCAGCTCGTATATGGAGATAGGGTACCACTAGAGCCAAGACCACCAAAACTGGCCAGTCTACGCCGTGGCTGTGGTTCTGGAGGTCCTTGCTGCGACGAGCCTTTCTCATGTTCCAAACGTTTGCATGTTTCCATCAAAGTTTTTTCCACTAGAGGATTTGGTTTGGCTGGGGCAGACGTCCCATCTACATACCTCTGAGAGGTGACTAGGTCTTGAGGGACCTCAGGTCTTGGATAGGAGGATTTAGGTTTGGAATGGGGAAGTGGGGGTCTTCTTCTGTTGACAGAAGAAGAGGAAGCGGATGAAGACGGAGACGTTTTCTTGGCTTCATCACTGCTCACTGAGGACAAAGACTCTGAAGAATTCCAGTGTGTGGGGTTTAAGATGCGTTGCGACTCGGAGGCAGCGTTTGCCGCTCCGGGACGCTTGTCAAAATGCAGCCGTCGAATGGTGTCACTTCGCTCAATATCATCCACGTATTTAACAAAGTCTAAGTCGAGCTGGTACCCGTATGGTGTGTCGATACTGAATGGGCTACTCTGAAAAGTGTCAGCAGTGATCTCACTCCAGTCTGTTTAAACAAAGAAAACAAAATTACTTTGGTAAAGGAGATTGGAGAGTTAATATTTAAACCAAAATTCATTTTTATAAAGTGAATGTCTACTTTGTTGTGAGTAAAACTGTTCAATAATAAGATAAAAATACATCCAAGCCAAGAACATGAACATGTATGACTGTGGACTGTTTATAACTACCGTGCCTGAAAACACTATTTAAAATAACAGGATGAAACTGAGACGGAAAAATTCAAAATTCAGAATAAAATAGTACTAACACATACTTCATATTTGCAATATTGCAGGCACCTTTCAAGTGGTGACATTCTCAGCTTTCAAAATGTATCTGATTTCCATAAAAATATGCATTCCTTACTAAAAAAAACTCAAGCAAATGTCTTTAAAAACAAAATAAGGCTTAAGTATTAACTTTCTTACCTGCAGATTAGAATTTTCACCAAAAAAATAAAAATGTTGTAGACAGGGGAAAAAAGTTATAGTAATGTTTATCTGTGCGCTTTCTCCTCTCTGCCCTTGTCTTACTCATTCTGCTCTCCCCGCTTCCAGACTGCTCTTATTTTGCTTCTCTCCTCCCACTGCTTTTTTATTCCCTTTCTCTTTCATCAACTCAAGCATTCAAAAACATTTGTATTGAAAAGTAAAAAAAAAAAAAAAAAATGCCTGTTGATTTTATTCTAATTTATATATAATTTAAGGAAACTGCAGAGTTGCTGATTCTCACCTTGTTGATTCAGGTGGAAGTGTGTTTTCTGAGTCATGGCAGCTTTTTATAGATGATACCACCACTAAAAGTTCTTTCTCAGCAGTGGAAACACTAGAAAAGCAAGAACAGACAAGAGCACATTAAACATATCACCTAAGACATGTTTAGCTGAGAAACTGTATTATACTACACCGCTTATAATCTAAATTGTGCTGTAATAACAACAATAAACTGGTACATTTAGGGTTGTTGTGTTCAAATTGCTCATTTTATTCCATGTATCAATTTAAAATTCATGCCACTTGGATTTAAAAAAAAAATAAAATAAAAAAATCTTTTATGTCTGGTTATTTGTGATTAACAGATAAAAGTAAGGGAAACCTTTCAATCATGAATTTCACATGATTTATCTTTTCATATATACTGCCCCCTACTGAAGAGAAACGTAAGCAGTCTCATGTAGATCTGCAATAGGCCTACACCACCTGAAAAAAGAGAGGCTGAAAAGCAGCAGACAGTTATAGTAAAACAAAAAATAATGCATAATGGGATTTGGATCTCTTGAATGAACTGGTTTGAATCAATCACTCATGACTGGATTTGACTGATCCAGTTCTTTGTCTATTCAACACATGACTATGACATCAGTTGACTTACAGTACAGCGTAACTCATGCCATTATTTTTTTCCCTTTTATAAGAAAAACAGGAGTCATAGCTTAGTGACACACAACAACAACAAGCAAAACAATGTGTCTGCTACATAATGTCAAAATTTATTCTGATTAGGAAAGGAAGAGGGGGAGAAACCCTGCAAACCAGGAGAAGCTTGCACTGTCACTGCAGACAGATATCTGAAACATGAGACCTGCATTGTGTCAGCTGAATTGCTTGGCAGTGAGAGGACATGGACACATCGACACAACACGAACGGACACACACTGATCCATGAACACACACATTTATCTGATATGAACCAAGGCATTAGGGCATAAAGTAAAACTGAGAATAACCAAGAAAATTATTGATGAAAAAGAGAACAAAGAGATAAATAATTTAGAAATAAAAACTTTTGTAACAAATGTTTTGTTTATTTTTTTTTTTCAGCAGAATAACAAATATGACCTGAAACAACTACTAATTGATTAATAATTTGTGCATACATATAATTAGCACAAAATGTCCTTTATAGAACAACATACACTTAACAGACTATTGAAACACACACACAAAAAAAAAGAAGTTTGAGTTTATCACACGAACAGAACAACTACAATTATCTCCTAATTCCATATGTTGGACCCCCTTAAAAACAAACAAGGGATGTTTTGTTGGAATTCAATGCCAGAGTATAAACCAATCTGCTTAGGTTTACATTCTCAAGATTTACTTTGTTTTAAGGGGTAAATATGTGTGCATTAATGGATATAATCTGCTCCTGGTACAGCCCAGTACATCTTCGGCTTACTGGATTACACACTGCCTGGAGACTAGCTGGACCACATCCTCAACAAGCCATTAACATTCTTGTAAACATAACTTAAATAAAGTGTGCAATAACTAATAAGTGTATTTTGGTAGTACTAGCACTAATATTCTACCTTAACTTGTTTTAAAAATGTTTTGAAATATTTCTATGAAACATTATTGTTATTTATATAGGCTAAATGTCATGTCAGCAACCAAATATTCTTAGACCGTCCAAAGTGACAACAAATGGAAGTGAATAGCTTAAATAAGATACATTAGTGCAGGTGAGTCTGTTGTTTACATACCAGAGCGAAGCGCAACTTCAGAGATGAAATGTGTTTCTTCTGCGTTTACATCTGAACATTTTTGTTTATCTTGAAACAGTGCCCCCGTAATGAATGCTGCCGTAAACTGCCAGTCCTCCTGGAGAAACTTTACCATGCTGTTCTGTATGCGCATGGAGGAGTTGCTGCTTACGCCATGACGCACTACGGCAGGTGTGCAGTACTTTTACTATTTTTTCTCTGGCATGTAAAAGAAAAACTAAAAGTAGGCTAGTATGCTACTGCTAGTTCTCACTTGACTTATAATTTAGTAGAAAAGGAGGCGCGAAGTATGAAATATTGAAAACAATTATACTAAACATATGGACATAAATCTACATACATGGTTATAAGGCATATATTTGATTTAAAATAGCAGTCTTTCTTCAACACAATTATTTAAATTCAGCCTCTGTAATAGCAGATCCTCTACAAAAATTAAATTGTTAGAAATAAGAAAATGTTCAGTAGGGTATCAGTTAACGCTGATAATGAATGTATTCTAAATTAGAGCAACATCTCATAACAGATCCTAGGCTATATATTAAAAAAGAGTTAGAAATTAGAAAAGGTTCATTATCAGTTAACGCTGATAACATCAAGATTATTGCGACATCTACTGGTAGTTATCTAAATGCTTTCTTTTTACTCAATTGAATATTTTTCAGTGGGGTGGGTGTTTAGAAGGTCATGTCTGTATATTTGTGTAACTTGTTCTGCAAAAGTCTACAGAAACTAGGCATATGGGTATCCACACACACGTTGAGTTTCCGTGTTTTATGGGGACTTTCCATTGACACAATGATTTTTATACTGTACAAAGTGTATTTTCCATCCCCTAAACCTACCAATCACAGAAAACTTTCTGCATTTTTACATTAAAAACAACAACAACAACAACAAAAAAAATCACTATGATTTTTTTGTTGTTGAAAAATTCACTAGGACCAGAAGATGTCGCCAAAAAGAAAAAGATTTTGGATATTAGCATCCTCTGGGCCATTTTTCCCAATAACATAGTTTACCAGTACAACACACATTTTTTTCAGCCAACAAGTTATATACATAACCCATTCATTATAACATGTCCCTACCTGTATATATATATATATATATAAAACTTAGAATTACTTATAATAATGAATTATTTTTATATATAAAGTAATTCTAAGTTTAATATATTTTAATTTAATTAATATAATGAAAGTAATGTAATACTATTGTTAACTAATGTGAAATATTACCAATGTACATATTACAGTGATATAATTAACTTTCTTTTTTAAATATTAAGTCACAACATCATGTTTTCACAAGACAGAACAATCCTGTCTTCATGTATTATTTTATTAGGCAGTTGTATTTACAAATCATCTTTTTAATTGTAAATTATCAGTAATTTTCTGCAAATTTACATTGGCAAGCCTCTGTCAGGTGCATCTCTTCACAGACAATCAACATAAATGCAGTTAAGAGAAGTGCATCAACATATTTTCTAAACTTGTTTTCAAAGGCTGAAATTGTTCCCTAATGATAAGGAAGAGTAATCATTTGAATAAGACTAATGCACGGGGAAATATATTTCAAAAGAAAGAAAAAGGGTAAAGGGGACAGCGCAAAACCAAACAATTTCTCTGGATTTGTCTTAAGCTGGCTTACAAAGCATAGATTGTCAAGTTTAAGCTTTAAAGTCTCATTAATAAAGAATTTGAACTGACAGTGCAGTTTTAAACAAAAAAGTCATACTCTTTTAAATATATAAAAGAGTATGTCTTATGAACATGTACAAATTGAACATGTTCATATATATATATAGACATGAACATGTAAAAAATACTCAATTTTTCAGGCCTATTTTTCTTTTCGCGAATGTTGCTGCATTTGTTGTGACCAATCAAGTTATTATCATCAATAAATTTATACTTTGTGGTAAGAATGTGCATTAAGACATTCTTCTTGCTTATATCACATGACTTGTAAATGAGTAGTGCCAAACAAACAAATGTATGAATTTATGGTTTAAAAACCTACTAATTATATAATCAATTTGAACAGCCAGAGCTCCAGACAGGCAAACAAACATGAGCAAACTATTTAAAAAACAAAACAAAAAAACATATTGTTTTCATTGCATTCTGTGAAACATAAAACACAGATCTGAAGGAGGATTCCTCCAGTTAGCAAGCTCCTACATGAAATAGTTTTTTATTCATGTTGACCTTTCTTTGTTGACTTACAATGGCACATGAAACCACATGCATGTAGGAGGATCTTTCAGATTATGAATTCACACTGGCTTTCAAACAGGAATAAGACAAAAATATGTGGCTCGCTCAGCCAAAGTTCATCAATTTTTAAAGAATATATGCCGAGTTAATACTTAAACTCATTCATTGTGCTGATTAACTATACTGGACACCTCAGCGTTTTTTTAAAGTGTTCATAAATGCACTTATCTTTGCAGCCTAGATTTACAACAAAAACAAAACAAAAAAACTAAAGAAGCCAAAATTGATTTGTAAAACTAAAATAATAGTAAAAAAAAGTGATTTTTTTTTTTTTGATAAAGCAGTGTATGGAATAAAACATCTTACAGCGATATAAATCAAACATTTCTTTAAAAAAAAATTCAGTCCAACATTACAATTCAGTACAATCTACAACCCCATTTAAAGCAGATAAACATAAATCTGAACGCATGTTTACATTTTATATATACTTAATTTTATGTAAAATGTGAGCAAATAGAAAAAAAAGTCTAAGGTGTGACAAACAAAAATCTATTAAACAGAAGCAAGAACATTGCACTCCCTCAGGATAAATGGGTCTTACATTGGTCTCTTCCTCAAGAAAGGCTGACTTATCAAATTGTCCCTTTGTGTTAAAGTGCCCACCATTTTAAATTGGCCCGTCCCATCAATGGCCCACTATTTAAGTAGGCTCCTCTTAACAGAGTGCCCTTTCCAGAAGGCTGTGTCAATGGGATAACCAGTCAAGACACTGGCCCACAAAAACTTGCAGGTAAAACTGTGCAAAAGCGCTTTCTGTCTCACTTGTCGGCCCACTCTTTCTCTATAGATCTCTTGGTCCACCAAGAATTGCAACAGCATTGTGTACAGTACAGCTAGCTCAGTGTATAACTCTATGCCTCACTCTCTGAAAGGAAATCCTCGCTATAAAACCCGATAAAGAATTGTAAAACCATCTCTAAAAGAGAATCGATAATAAAGTGGCTTAGCAATCTTTCTGACAGCCTGACTGTGGCACAAAAACAACCTCCATCATTTTCCCTTTTGCACCTTTTCTCAGTCCCCTTAAACAGGCTGATGCTGGCCACAGACCATTCAGCTTGCTCATGCAAGTGGGATGCATGGAGTCTTGAGTCAGTCTGCATGCTTATTGCTCTAAAGACACTGAGAGAGAAAAAGAGAGACAAAAGAATAGAGATAGGAGGACTGCTGTGGATGAAGACATGGCCATCTGATGATGAAGAGGTAGAGAGTATTCTAGAAGAAAGAGAAATCAAGCCAGAGAGAGTGAGAGAGAGAAGGCATCAGAGGAACCACAAGTTATCGTGCTAGCAGCTTGATGAGGTTGGCGCACATCTCAAAGAACTCTATGGTGTGACTTCCCGGCCGGGGGAGGATCTCTCCCCCAGTGGAATCCACTGAGGAGGTAAGAGAGGAAGCCAGAGAGCTTTCCGCCGCTTTCCCCCCGGATATCGGAGGTGTGGAGGGTGCGGACACGTCACCCTTTGTTGCATCCTCACATTCAATTTTCTCGTTCTTTAGGGTAGTCCGGTAGTTACCGACTGAGCCAGAGCGGTGAGGCGTGGCAGTCCCTGATTTTACTTCCATCATGTCATCTGAAAGTAACAAGACATCAGATGGTGAAGTATGCAGAAAACACACCACAAGAGGGATGAGAATCGTAGGGAATTTCTGGTTTCTTTTAGAACAGATAATAAAACAATATATTAAAAAAAAACAATTCTTAACATTTACAATTAGGGGTTAAATGACTTCAGCCCATTTTTAAATTGAAATTTATGTGATGAAAGTCGGGTCGACGTCGACTAGTCGCTGATGACGTACACCATACTGTTCGTTTTCTCACACAAACCGCTCGTTTCGTGTCTTAGGCCATCGATGTGTACTTACATTTACGAGTCATTAAATCATGTTTAATTTGGACTTCTCTTTTGCATGCTCTTTGAGGTGGACCCCATTAACCTCCATTATATGACTGACAGACAACAACGGTTTGACCAAAAATACTGTGGAAACAAAGACACCTACATCTTGGATGCCCTTGAGATAAGCTAAAACATGTTAAAAAATAATTTCAAAGTGAACTATCCCTTTAAGTAAAATATTATGTTTATTTTTTTTTTTATAAGATACCACTGACTACAAAACTCATAATGTGTAGTTACACAATGTCATATAAACAACCATTCGGTAACTACTCTGACAGATGTCTCACAAGCTTTATGTAGTGTATAACATAGTAACAGTTCAGACATGCTGAAAATTTTACTTGTATTATTCAGTCTGATATATTCAGTATTCCTAAAGCAGTTATAAACAAAAAAAATTAATAAAACTAAACCACACACAGAGTGACAATTTTACCATCTATGCTCCTGAAGTCTAGTAAATATGTCCTGCTGTCCACCTGGTAGAGCTGGAGGCTCATCTTTGTATGTATGCCAGTGACTGGGTTCTTCCTCCGCACTCGCAAGTAATAAGGATTCACAACCTATCAAACCAAAGAGGAAAAAAAAGAGAGGAGAGTTAATAAATCTGATCCTGTAAAATACCCTATATAAAAGTTCATTTATATTTACCAACGTTCAACTTTAAAAAAAGGACTGTGCCGACAGGTTCATTGCACTATAACACTATTTGCACTGTTTTGAGGAGGTCTGAATGGCATACTCCAGAACAGCAGTAAACACTGTTCAACTTGATAAGAGAGACCGCTAAGAGATAAGACACAGAATGAACACTCTTATAAACAAAGACGTAGGCCATTTCTATCCAAAACTGATGACTCACTCAGTCAGTCAAATATGCTTAAACTTCAGTCAGCCACAGGTTAAAGTGTAAATTGCAAGATAATGCAATGTGCTGCTTAACTAAACATAAAGATAAGAACCGCCCACAATTGTTTTTTTAATAACAAAATGCTGCACATAATATGAAAGTTGCTACGTTTTACAGTGGTTTTAAGCACACCCCCTCTCTTCCACTAGGCTGGGCTTGACGTCATGAAACGGACTTCAAACTTTTACTGTCTATGCTCCAAGCCTAGAGTTACGGTTAGTCTAAACGGCAAGTAGGCTAGCAGTTATATTGGAGACCTAGCTAGCGAAAATAGTGTTTTAATGGTGCTATTGTGTTTGTGTGGGATGAACAAATACATCTAAAACAGGGGAGAGGCTCCACAAGTCTGTGATTGGCTACATCGCTCAACGCTGCAAACATGTTATAAATAGAAAAAAAAATAGAATGATTTTTTTTTTTAGTTTTTTATGTTTTATTAAGAGAGCCCAATGGAGCGGTATCAGGCTCAGCCTAGAATCTGAGTATGATGACATCAGGCTACAGTAGGGTACCATTAAAAAAACAATTCTGTCCTTAATACTTTAGAAGCTCTGTTTACATTTTAGCTCCAGGCTCTTCTAATAATGACTGTACGTTATGAAGCCATACTGTAAAGTTTGCTGTTAACATTCTATTTGTTTACTCTGGAAGTTTGTGTGTGAGAAAGAGAGAAAGCGGTCAAGTCTTTTCTATTTATAGAATTTGACCAGAAACCCCAAAACTTTTTCCCACAAGGAAGAGATGGAATTTACCCTAAAATCATAAACCTCAGGAGGATAAACAGAAAAAAAAATGCATAGCAGGACATGCATTCGCTCCATTTATCTATTTTTACACACTCCTCTACCCTTTATTGCTACAATTTGTATATTCCTGGCCTAAATGCAATTTATTCGCATAATTGTTTCCAAAACATGGCAACGCCATATGCCTCAACTTAAAGGAATAGTTATGCTGAACAACAATTACTTTTATTGTATGGACAAAAACACTCAACACTTTCTTCAATATATCTTCTTTTGCGTTCCATAGAAGTCAGTAAGTCATACAGGTTTAGGATGACTTGATGACAACTTTCATTTTTGGGGAACTATCCCATTAAATGCTGCGGTGATCTGAGAAAATTTAAAGTCAAACCACATGCACAGATGCTTACCTTCCACTCATAGTCCAGCTGCTTCATAGCACGACAGACCTCACTCATGATATCATTCGGTCTGCTCTGGCTACGGATTCCAAGGTGCCACTTTGCCCGCCGAACACCGAGATGCTTAGACTTTTGGGGGTTAAGCTCATCCAGCGTGTGTCGAGGACGCGGTTGAGACTCGGCCACTAGGAATGGCACTCTTTCAGGGTGAATCTTAGCAGAGTGATGAGCGGGCAGATCGTCTAGAAAGCTGTCTGGGGGGCTGGAGGCCAAATAGAAGTCTTTGGCCTCACTCATAATGCGGCGGTTGTCTATGATCAAGTGATAGGCCACAGCAAGAGGATCCTGGTGATTGCGACTGCAAAACAGGGAAGCATTAAGACAGGACATATTAGAAAAGCTAACACATATATAAAACAACAACCAGAACCCATGTATTTGTCAAGTAAAGAACATAATTCAAACAGTTTGTTTGTGAATGTGCTTCTCTTTATGTGACGGTCAAGAACGGGTTGCCCATTACAGATTAAAATAAATAAATTAAAACAAACCTGTACAAGCAGTTGAGCACCTCCTCCTCAGTGCACTCAAATTTCTCACACACCTCCTTCAGCGCCTCCTCATCAATCATATTATTGCTGTATGCAGCGTCCTCCGGGAACAGATACTTGGGGAGATCTTGCTTAAACCACTCATCATCCCTGAGAATGGAGCGCAATGAACAGATAAAGAGAGAAGATGTTGATTTAAACATTTACAAATCTTACTCTCCACATCGAATATTTATGGCATTACTAAATGAAATAGACAGTGCTTGGCGTAGTTTCTGACCGAATCTCTTTGATGGTGGCTCTCTTCATGGGGTCTACTTGGAGCATGTGTTTTAAAAGGCTAATAACAGAGGAATTCAGGTACTGAGGCGTGAAGAAGATTCCATCACAGATCTTCTTGAACAGTGTTGGCACGTGGTCGTCGTCAAACGGCAGCGTTCCGCACAACAGGGCATACAAAATCACTCCGCTGCTCCAGATGTCCACCTCAGGGCCTGCGTATAACCTGGATCAGAACAGCAAGATCCGTCAATAGACAATCTGAACGAACGGACTTCACAAAGCCATTTGAAACCGCACAGAGCATCATCTTAAGAAAAAATCAAATGGTAAAAGGTAAATACAGGCACAGAGGTAAAGGGTACCTTCCAGAGATGACTTCCGGAGCAGCATAATTAGGAGAGCCGCAACTCGTCCTCAAGAATTCTCCATCCGACATCATGTTTGACAAGCCTGCGTGAGGAGAAGTCGAAGTCTGTATAGCTTGTGATATAAACATTAAATCAACCACCATGTTCAACAAATATGAGGAGTTCACATACCAAAGTCTGCAATCTTGGCGTTCATGTGCGCATCCAGCAGGACATTCTCAGGCTTGAGGTCTCTGTGCACCACCATATGTCTGTGGCAGTAATCCACCCCTGAGATGATTTGCTGGAACAGCCGCCTGCTTTCCTTCTCATCCAACTAACCAGAGACACAGGACCATGTATTATTTTAACATTTTCCATGTGGCCTAAACTGAATATTCTGCATTTAAGGTTCCCCTGTTGAAAATTACTGTCAATTTTGAGGACCCTGATAGATATACACAACTGTTCCTGATCAAATGTCTGGAATTGGAAAGATTTTTTTATTCTTTTTTTTTTGTCTTATGTTAACCCAGAATTTATTGTGAAATATTATTATTACAATTATAATTACAACAGAACTCTTTTATATTGCAATACATTTTATTCCAGTGATGGCAAAGCTGAATTTTCAGGATCATTACTTCAGTGTCACATGACCCTTCAGAAATCATTCTAGTAGGCTGTTCAAGAAACATTATTATGTTTATTATTATCAATGTTAAGAACAGTTGTGCTGCTTAGAATTTTTTGTGCAAACTGATATATATATATATATATATATTTTTTTTTTTTTAAGATTATTTGATAAATAGAAAAGTGCCTTAACAACAATGCCTTAATATGCTGAGTGACTTATGTGGACAAACTAATATTTGAGGAAATCTGTTTATAATAGATTATTAGGTTTGAACTTTTTGGTCCTATTGATTCCGTTGATTTAAATAAATGTCTATGGCTAACATAGCTTAAATGAACGCTTAAAGGGTTAGTTTACCCAAAAATGTAAATTCTGACATTAATTACTCACCCTCATGTCATTTCAAACCCATAACACTTTCGTTCATCGTAGGAAGTTCAGGAACACAAATTAAATCTGAGAGACTACTACACAACTGACACTTTGATGCTTAAAGTTCATAAATAGATCGTAAAACTAATCCATATGAATTGAGTGGTTTGTTCCAAATGTTTCTGAAGACACTCAATTGCTTTATATGATGAACAGAATTTATAGGATTTTATTCACATATAAACTTTGACCAGCGAGTTCACAGGAGCTCAAACAAACCTTGCAGAAATTCAAACATGCTGCGCAACATGTGAGAATAAACCTCATTGGTTCTCGCACATCAAGCAAACATGCTTGAGCTTCTGTTTACCACAACTGATGTGTGAGTTGATGAAAGTGTAAATGTGAATAAAAGCCTAAATTCTATCTGTTCATCATATAAAGTAATCATCTCTTCAGAAAATTTGGACTGAACTGCTCAATTCATATGTTGAACAGTTGATATTAGTTTCAAAATGTCAGTTAAAGCATCAAAATGTCAGTTGCATAGTTGTCTTTTTGGAGGGATAGAAAGCATCCCTAGATTGTACTTCCTCTTTCAGTGGATCTGATGCTTTAGCAATTACAGTGGCATTTCATCTCTCACTTCCTGCTGGACTTATAATGCTTGAATTATAAGAATATACAGTATCATGTCAAAAAGTATTTTTTTTCACTACACCAAAGTGGCATCATTGATGGAGGTTCTCCAGTGACAGCAATAAATAGTCAACTATACAACAATTAAATGAACAGTTGATTATTTTTTTTTATCATCAATATAAGCAATTCATTTTCCAGTCTTAATCATAACCTACAAATTAAAAAGCTGTACCTTTCCATTTTTACAGATGTAGTCGAATAGTTCCCCTCCTGAAACATATTCCATTACCATGAATATGTCTGTTGGTGTGCTGATGACTTGGTAACTGCCAAACAAAACAAAACAAAACAAAAAAGCACAAATTTGTAAAGAATAGAATACATGTGTAAAGCTTTTAAGGTCTACAACCTTCTATACAAAAGAAAAACAAAACAAAACAAAAAAACAAAATATTCTGAAAACATATTCCCTGTCTTGTACTGATTAATTGATAAATTTAGGTACATTTTAACAGTTAGATTTTTAGTTGAAATGCTAGATATATTTACTAACTAATACAATAAAATAAATAATAAACTATTTTTACTATACATTTTTATGGAAAATGTCAATGAATCCCTAATGGTTTTGGAGCAAGTCTGGATAGCTTTGATTTCCATGTATTATCTGGCCAGAGTAAAGGTATGTGTCTTTATCAGTGTGGGGAACATTACTTAAAAAAAAAGTAATTAGTTATAGTTACTCACTACTTGTTCCAAAAAGTAACTGAATTACTCTATAATAAAAGTAACTTGTTACCAGTGAAAGTAACTATTTGCATTATTGTTCAAAAAAATTCTATATGTCAAAATTGAACGTTATTGTCTGGGGTCCCTGGAGACCCCAAAGATAACTAGTGTAGACAAAAATGAAGATAATCAGAGGGTTAACAAATAGGTCATGGATGTTACTTACAGTTTGATTATATGCGGGTGACGGAAGAGTTTGAGGTTCTGGATCTCACGTCGAATCTTCCCCACCACATCCAGACTGCGAATCTTCTGCCGGTTTAGAATCTTTACCGCCACCTGGTGCTTGGTCAACTCATGCTGTCCAACTGCACAGACAGAGAGAAGGTCAATGAAAAATATACAATAAAATTCACAATGTATTTATTTATGAAAAAGACAGACAAATTCAAGTCTAGAAGCAACTGTCCTATCAATCTTTAAAAAAAAGATCTTCTTAAATAACCCATTAAACTAACTCAAAATCAATGCCGGTGGGTTGCATGTCTGTTTTGAGAAGGAAAAATAGCTTTTTGTAAATAATAAAAATGCAAGCGAACCATGTAATCTAATCATGCATAGTTAAAATATCAAAAAAGAGAGCAGAAAGCATTTCCTGTAGCTTTTTCTGTTGATGGCAAAAACTGTACCTGTCCAAATTGTGCAAACTTTTCTGTCACTTGGTAATATGGCTAATTAATATCCTAAATACTTTATTTCACCCAGTGTTTGCACCATGCTGGTAAATCACTAGTTTGCTAAGCATTTACAATAGTCCATTTTACTTGTCCAGCTAATCAGTTTGCAGATTGTTAAGCCAATGCTGTTTAATTATGCTAATGATAATAATACAATTTTTTTTTTTTTTATATATTATACAACTTTGGTACTGCCCTGGGTTGAAAGTGAAACTGAATAAAGGACACTAATTATGTAAGTGTATTCCAGGAAACAGAGGGATAAATAACACTAAAATACTGACAAACTGCTGAAAAGCAGAATGTGTGGTGTAAGAGTCACCAACTTTAAACAGTGGCAACATTATTAGCATTACGGTGCCAGTAATGTGTAAAGTGCGATGCATATTCATTAATTTTTTCCAAGAACTTTTTATATGGAAAAAAGCCAAGCTAACCAGCTTCTTATAAGGCGGGATTTTGCTGCATTAGTAAGCCCTGAAAGCTGAACATTGAAGTTTGAACTGTTCCCAGAAGCTGTATATTGTCTCAGTCAACTTGCAACATTTAAAACAGTCTGCCTGCTTTAACTAGTCTGCTCTAGTTATGCATTAATACAAAACCCAGTCATGCAGAGGGAACTGTGAGTGTCCTAGACCCCGTAGACCTCACATAAAATTAGTAATCATCTTAATGAAGGCTATTTTGTTTGACTGATGATTTGTAGTTTCCATGTTTTGTCAACTTCTCTTTTCCCCAAAGACCCTTATTATGAAATATTTGCCCTAACCAGCACACTTCCTTTCTTGAAATTTTGGCATCGTGTATTGACCCATAATACAGGAAGATTCAATGACGATTCAATGATTGGCTTGCTCTGAGGGGCACAACAAGCTGGGAAATCAAATAATGGTTGAAAATATACACATTTACATTCTAAAACTTGAGCACATAATAGAGCAAAACAAAATAAAAGTTGTACATCTATATATGCGTTATTCACCTATGTTATTCACTACTGTAAACAAGTAAGGTGGCAGGCGGGTCATAATACATTTCATATGCATTTTAATACATACAACCATTAACACACCTCTATTATTGCAGCCCTATATATAATTGAATGTAATTAACCATGCATGAATACAGCTACAGTAACGTTACATTATGAATTAATTAAGCTACTAAAACGAGATCATTTTAACTCATTACTCACAGCATGCAAAATGAGTTTTGGAGAATAATTAGTTTCTCTTGTCATTTTGACAGACATTCTGAAAGCTGCATAGCGGTTGACATTTGGCCTGTGCACGAGCGCATCCCGTAACTGTAACTTCAGAACACCAATAATCACTCCATAAACCGTGAAGCTAACTGTTTACCATGTTAGCTGCGACCAATCCATCCGTTACAAACGACACAAACATACCGCATGCGTGCGACTATTCAGAAAACAACGGAAGCATCGATCGGCTGACACTTAACTGCGACAAACGCAGAACAACGCTCCGTTCTTTAATGTTCGTTTCAAGACTACACTGTTATTAGCCAACAAGTGCTGCTGCTGCTGCTTTAGCCGCATTTAAAGACTCGATCATGTCCAGTTTTGCTTAACCGTCTTTACTACAGCAATAACCTACACATCTGTGACAGTTTTACCTTTGACTTTTCCAAACGTTCCCACTCCTAGCGTGTCTCCAAGAATATAATGTCCAATTTTCACCCTGCCTTCATGTTTCTGTTTGTCCGTCGCCATCTTCGCTCTGTCTGAGGCCCTACCTGAGAGAGGCAGCGGGACGGGGACGGGAGCGATCGGCATCTCTACTGACAACTACCGGCCAAAATACACAGCTCCAAACACTTGGATTAGTTATCAAATGTTAACTAATTACAATTATTATAAACTATTTAAATATTATTATTGTTACTATAGCTGTAATAAGTGAGCTGGCAACATTTTCTTTCTTATTTCTTTTTTTACTATGTTCACGAAGATGGATTCCGAAGATGTAACGAATTAGGTTCTTTTGAGATGATCACAAGCAATAAATAAACCCACCATGCACCGTCCTGTGAAGAAAAAAAAGAACAACAAAAAACAGAACTTTACTCAAACGTTTTATTTGGTTCCAAAAATAACCAAATGGGAACCACATTCATTGTTTTCTGGGATGTGTGCACATAGGCTATTATATATTTCATGTACTCTTGCAAGATCAGTAGGTTATTAAATGTTATGGATATTTAATAACAAGCCTTGAAATGCAAGTAGTTGTCTTCAAGCAATTTGCTGTCCCTGGCCTACACATGAAATGTTAGGCTATTTGAAAAGCAGCAGGACAATTATATAAGGAAAAAGGCCAACATGTATTGCTTACCTTTATTGAGTTGTAAAATGCTCAAACCCAAGGCAGCATGGTTGCAATAGTGAAGATTGAATGTGATAAAAAGTATATGATCATCAAGTTTTTTGCTCATGCATGGACACTATCACTGGGTGAGCCAGTGTTGCCCTGCATCGGGTAATTCTGCATCGCCATGTCAATTCAAGAACAAGAAGTTGCTCCCAGTGATGTCGTGTTCAGCTCTATTTTATAAAGAGCTCCAACTGGTGTGTGTTTTGCAATGTTAAGGAACATAGAGATAAAGTGAAGTTTACCCAAAAACATTTATTTATTTGTGTGATCCTTTTATTTTTGGCTGAACTATCTCTTTGAAAACTACTAAATGTTTTTGACACAGACACCAACAAAGATGTTTATGTACACAAACATTTTTTATTTGTGTAATGTAACATCTTTGTTGGCATTATTTTTTTTTCAGGTACTCAGACATACATAGGAAAACTGTATTTGTGTTATTATTCTGTCTTAAACCCTTTTTAATTCTATTCTATTTTGTCCACAGCAACATTATAAAACTAATTTTGTAACAAAACAATGCTAAATGTATTTATTGTAGTCAATATTCAAGAAATCACCTTATCTTTCCATTGAGATAAGAGTGAGTTGGACTACTTGAGTGTTTGGAACACTGCATATGTTAATTTAATTTTCGCAGCATTGTTTTGAACAAAACTAAATAAAGATAGTTTTCTGTGTAATATCCTTTCTCCAAAATGGTTGTCCTGAGTAGGGTCACAGTGGAGTCTATTACAGCATCGGAAACAGATATTCACACACCTAAAGTCAACAATTTGGCAGTTTTTAGAAACAACTCTAATTATAAAGGGAGTCTGATTTACTCTGATTTACTTTTATGCAAGTAGTTAGTGCGCACAAAAAAAAATAATAATCACAATTTACCACAGAGGAGTATGTTTAAATTTGTTTTAAGATTCAATACTAAGTGTGCACATCTAACATGCAAAAAGCTCAATGAGGGCACTTAACCAGGAAAAAGTGTAAAAAAGAAAAGAAAAGTTGCCACACCACCAGTCAAAAAAAAAAAATTAGTTTTCAAATTAGTTTTATTACAATTATGCGGCAATCAATATAGTGCGTTCTTTATTTCATCAAAAAAAAAATCATCAAGCTTAAAAAAAAAAAACAAATTTGCCAATTAAAAGCACAAAAGTTGTGAGAAATCAAGAAAAAAAAAAAAAAAAAAAAAAACCCGACATGAAACGCAATATCTGGAATTCCCAAAAAATGTACTTTCTTCACTTAACTAAATATCTCAAGACTGGAAATCCAGCTCTCAGTCAGAATGACAAGTTGACAGATGTGGATGTGATAAGTTCATGTTGTGATGAATACAAAGGATATATTTCACCTCAGAGTAGAAAGTACATGGATTGTATTTCAGTTTTACTAGGTCTTGATTTACTACAGTTTGTGTGCTTTTTTTCTGGTTGAGTCAGAGTGAACTGCAGCCCTATCAGAGTCTCATGAATGTATGCCGTGTACAGAAGAAGAAAGGCCAAGGTCAGGATTTTCTGTAAATAATACATTCAATTTCGGTTTGTTTTTTACTAAGCCCTATCATATACCCCCAGAATACTTGAAGCACATGACACATGGGACCATACTATGGTCCTTTTGAGTCCTTTTTAATTAGCTTGATTCAGGAAACAATATTGGCTGCCATTAAAATTATGAGTGCGAGCAAGACGTTAATTTATTTATTTATTCTTTTGTGTTCCGATAAAGATGGAATAGAACAACACCAGGGCGAGTAAATGATGACTTAATTTTAATTTTAGGGGTGAACTATCCCCAACCCTAGAAACAAATGCTTTTTAAATAACTATGCATATCCCAAACTCTCATTTTCACTTTGCTTTTCACACTGCTTGAAGGCCTATACTGTCAGTATATTAAATTTTCATTTGCTTTTACTCCACTGCCTCAGGATGTCCTCTGCTGCTTGCAGGGTAGAGTCCTCCTATTAATGTTGATGAAAATATGAATGAAATAATATAAACAACATTTTAACAAGGTGAACTACAAATCACAATGGCAACTGCATTAATGTATGATCCACCTATATAATGCAACCTATATTGCATCAAAATTAAAAGTTAACTTTGTTAAGGTTTAACAGAGTTGATTCACAAAAAGAAAACTAAATAACTGGTCATGGTGATAATTAAACTTCATAACAGTCTCTAAAGCGTAAAATTGGGATCCCATAAAACATTGACATCCCAAATAATTAAGCAATTTTATTTCTAAACTGTCAATTTCAAATGATTTCATGTTTCATTTCTGTCTTAAAAATACCTTTACGAAGCAGAATCGGATGTATTTCTGGAATTCTTCTCTGTGTTCTGGACTGTAGAATGCAGACACAGGGATAGTTGCCAGGCCCTATTCAGAAGTGAATAACTTGCTTTAATAATTAAAAAAAAAAAAATTGTATAACAGTAAATACTCATGCTTGCAAGTACCTTCTCTTTTATGAGCCATTTCACAAATCTGTAGTCATAGGGTTCGTCTGTAGTACTAGGGTCAGTAAGGTTGATATCTTAAAGAAAAACATTTAAAATCAAAAAGCAATTTTAAGATCACTTTATTTTTGAGTAGTCCAGTCAAAACATAAATTGCCATCACAGGGTGTAGCCTTGTTGAACTATGAGGATTCCTCTAATCATGGAAAACCTGGAAATATCTAGACATTTTAAACATACATGCCTGGGAGTGTATAAAATCTTAAAAATGCATTTAAATTCTGTATAAAATTATAGAAATATTCTAAAATGTATATTTATTTATAATTATGGATATTGTATATTTTATTATATTTTATATACATTTATATTTGTATATTTTATTTTATTATTACTGGAAAAGACAATAAAATGAAAGAACACTACCATTAAATTAACAAGCTCAAAAAGAGAATTATCAGAAGAAAATAAACAAGGGCTGTCAAACGATTAATCACGATTAATCGCACCCAAAATAAAAGTTTGTGTTTACATAATACATGTGGGTGCACTGTGTATAATTATTTTATATAAATAAATACACACACATGCTTGTATATATTTAAGAAATATTTTCATATATAGTGTATATAGATTTATATATAATTTATATTATATATAAATATAAATATTTTATATAATATTTTACATTTATGTGTGTGTATTTATATATATACAAAATAATTATACACAGTGCACCCACATATATTATGTAAACACAAACTTTTATTTTGGACTTTTATTTTGATTAATCCTAAAATAAACATGAAAGCTACTAATCTCAGACAGATAGGGAATTCACAGATGTAAAAATTGTATTTCAATAATTCATAATTAAATCTGAGTTCCTGTTTTAATACTTTGTTCTACAATTTTTCTGTTACTTACTAATATTTGAGATATCTGCAATCATAAAGTATCCTCCCTGGGGCAGAATAGGTTTCAGGCCAACGCTCTTCAGACAATCTGCCAGTCTCAGTCGCTTTTCATGAAGATGGAGGGGTAACTGGACGAAATAGCTATCCTCTGTTCCAAATAAATCATATTCCCTCTGAAAACCTACTGCTACGGCTTCCTTGAGAAACAATAATTGACAATGTCAGTCCACTGAAAAAAAAAAAAAAAACTTTCCACAAACCTTACATATTACACAAACGTTATATTTAAAACGCATTGCATTGTTTTACCTGGGCAGCTGTGGCACAGTGATACACTGAGTTCTGATGGACGGTTTTTAAGTGCTTCAGGATATGCGCTGATCCCATTGCCCAACCCACCTACATTAAAATAAAGTAATGTGATGACCAAAAAATAGAGAAAATCTAAAATAACCTACAGCTGAGACACTTCCAGCCAGCCAAAGACAGAATGACAAATATAGGCAATTAGTATTGCAAAAAATAAACCCTGTTGAATTTGGCCAGCTCACCTTCCACCCTGTGGCACTGAAAGTCTTGCCAGCACTCCCAATGGTGACAGTGCGTTCCCACATACCTGGCAGACTGGCTGTCAAAAAAGAAGTTATTTTTCTTTAAAAGTCCACAAAACTGTGATATAACATTATTCACCCAGTTCTGCATTTACCGATCTTCACATGTTTTGTTCCATCATATGTGAGCCACTCGTACACCTCGTCGCTGATGCAAATGACATCATGTTTAATGCATAAGTCAGCAATCACCTGAAGTTCTTCCTGCAGATAGACCTGCAAGAAACAGTTAGGGTTAGGCCGAGCATATAGGCATATGTATCTGACTGTGGTTAAACTTAAAAACCTTTCAGCTCAGATTCAGCTCCAGCTCTGAATGCTCGGAATTTACATATAAATTACACTACAGTTTTTGAGTCAGTAACTGTGGAATACAGTAACAAAAGTGACAGTAAAGGTATTTTTATTTCAAATAAATTATGTTCTTCTGAACTTTCTATTCATCAGAGAACCATGTTTATTTTGTAGAATCCAGCAAAATATTAAGCAGAACAACTGTTCTATTTCATCTCAGAAACCATCCGATTCCTTGACAGATTACATGAATTTCACTTGTATAAAAATATATTGGATAAAATATAAACAGGGACTCACCTTGCCAAGAGGGTTATTAGGAGTGTTAAAGACAATGGCTTTGGTACGAGGACTAAATTTACTCGCCAACTCTTCAGGAGACAACACCCAGTCAGCACTGGATAAAGCAGGACCACAGCATTCCCTCTGTATATACACATCAAGTATTATTCAAAACATTTTTTTTTTTTTTAACAAAAACAAGTTGACAGATCTTGTCACATGATATAAGAACATACTGGTTTAAGGGGGACATATATAGCTGTTCCTCCCGCCATCTTTACCATTGGTTGATAACAGTCAAAGAATGGCTCCACAATAATCACCTGCTCATGAAAAGGAAAAAGGGGCATTCTGATATCACATATTGAACATAAAGAAACAGACATTGAGTGACTTTTTTGTTTTCTACAAACAATGCATCGCAGAATAAAATATAATTTTATGAACATGAATATTGCCTTGACAATGATAACTTTACCTCATCACCCTCGTCAATAAGAGCCTGGAAGGTGCAGAAAAGTGCTTGATATGCTCCAACAGAAACCAAGATATCTTCCATGGGATCTATTTCCCGGCCAACAATCCTACTGAAGAACTTGGCCAGGATCTTCACAAGATTTGGGTGGCCCTATATCACAGCATGTTGTTCGATTCTTTAACAAAGCTTTACTGATATATTTATTACATTATGCAGCAGTTATCATTTGGTAAACAAGCAAATCGTTAGTTCTAATATCTTACAAAAGCACGTGTGTACTGGTGCATGGCGAAACCTCCATTCAGTGCGTTGCAGAAGGCTTCCTGAATGAAGCTAGGAGGGGGGAAATCAGGGAACCCTTGACCCAGGTTGACAGACTTATAATCGGCAGCCAGCTGAGTGAATTCCACCCTACACAAAAGGAATACCATGGAGTTTTAAACATAACAATTTATTTAGTTTACTTCAATATGTGGGATGCAGAATGGTAGATCTATCATTACTGTGACCAGATAATTACACAGCTCCCTTTAATACAAGAATGGCTATTTAGCGCCATCTTGCGACTCAAAACTGTTATTGCGACTAACTACTATAAAAATGGAGGACAGTGCTCTGAATATTTACTGTAGCCTTAGAATAAAACCTTTAATATATTTATATTTAGGCCTAATAAGCACTATATGTGTAACTACATTTTAAATATATAAAAATATTTGCAGTGTTATTTGTTGCTTGACCATTTTTTTTTCTTCTACGTAAGATAACTCAATATTTATGTATTTCCTTGTTTGGTAAATGCCGTGTGATGAGCCGAATGTACAGCAGGATACAGTCTTATACTTTTACTTGCTTTATAGGCCATGCAACAACTAACGTTACTTACCATATATTTTTGTCAATTCCTTCAATCCTTCTCGCGTGCAATTTACGAGACATTATGCCCTGCGTGACAAAGCGAAAAAGAAAGTAATAATACAAAACTATTTCAAATTAAACCACAACATGCTGCTCAGGAATACCGATCGAGTGTGAAATAACGTTACTACCTTATCAAGACAACCTGCGATTGCAAATCTGTTTGACACCGAAGGTCCAAGTACCGCCACTCTTCTCCACATGGAGTTTTCCAATAACTTTACTTTTCTACAGGTTTTTTTCTGCTAAAGCCGTAAATCAGTAACATGCAATAACATATTTATCAGGCCACATCTCCTCCAACTGAACTGTCAACCTTAAAATGACGTGCAGTCAACGATTCAGACTTGACAATAGTATTTGCGATTTAACATTAGAGTTTCAAGAGACAAACGAAAAAACGATCATGTGATAAAATGTCGATTTAACTTTGTACTCCAAAAACTAAAGCACAAAACTTTGTTTCGTACCAAACCTTGATTATTTACTTCCCAAGCGATTAAATACGTCACACATTTACTTCTTGTGAGCCAATGAACCTGCGAGCAGAGCTCCTCCTCCAGGCAGCAGACTTCTCTTAAAGGGAGATATGGGGGAAGTAAATAGACGTTCTTCATAATATTTTTTATAAAATCTTGTGTTGAGCAGAAGAAATACATTTATACAGGTTTCCACTTAAGGTTGAGTGAGTAAATAACTCACAGAATCAGATATTATCAAATAAGAATTTTCTCCGCTGTGGGCGGGGCCAGTGACTGCCAGCACTAACGCTGTCAACATATACATAGTAATTTGTAATGATCATTCTTTTTGCTCAATGTTGAAATACAAAATGAGAAGAAGAAAAAAACAAGTTTTTTTTTTCTCTTGCTTGTTTCCCAATCTAGCATTCCAATAAACCTTGCAAAGAACACCATGAATAGTGTTGGCTATGTGACAATTGCTTATGTACCTCTATCGTTAGGCCACTTTGGATAAAAATGTCCGCTGAATCAATAAATGTAAATGTAGATAAACATCTCCAACCTTGGCTTGGTAGAATAATAAAAACACAAAATATGGACACAAATTATTTTCTTTATAAAGATGAAATCTTAAAAGTGACAACAGAAAAAACTATTTCTTCACATTGAAATTTTGTGAAAAGTACATTTTTAATGTCTCTTTCAGCCCTAAGCAGAAGGAAAAGCCATTTTCCCCTCCAATCCCGCCTTTCACCTTTTCTGCCTATAAGTCAGCCTTCTTGAGATCCCCAGGCAGCACACGACCCTTTTTTCTTGCCCTCTGTTTGCGCTTCTCCATCTTGGCATCCTTGCGTTGCTTAATATTCCTTTTCCTCTTGTCTTGTCTCCTTTGCATCTTCTCCACAACTTGCTGACTCCTCTTTGTCCACTTCTTTTTCTTCTGAGTTTTCATTTTCTCCTTCTTCTTCAATGATTTGTGCAAGAGTTCCTCATTGTCTTTGATCTTCATACCTTCAGCTTTGTAGAGAACATTGGTCCACCTCATCTTCTCTTCCTCTTTCTCTGCTTTGCTTTCATCTTTCTCCCTAAGCTGCTCCAGGTAATCTTTCCTCGCCTCAATGCGTGTTAAAAGCTGCTTGTAGTTCTTACCAGTGAGTGGAGTCAATATTCCTTTCACTTTCCTTTTCTTTTTATTCAGCATTAGCTTTGTTCCTTTGTCCACATAGTCTTCTCCAACATCCATCTTATTGAAGACGATGAAGCTCTGCTCCGTTTTGGCAGGCGCGCTCGATGCAGAGCTGACTGGCAGTTGAGGTTTTGCTGTTTCTTTGTCATCTTCTCCTGCTTGCAATGCTGCGGCATCTGCTAACTTTTTCATTCGAAACTCTTTCCTTTTCCTCTTACGACGTTCCCTTTCTTGTTTTCGTTTTTCTCGCTTTTTCTTTACCTCCTCCGAGGAAGGATCTTTAGGAGTGCCCTGAAAAAAAAAGCACATATAAATACTTGGCTTAAAATCTCCTAAATGTGTAATGTAATACATTTCTTATTTTATTCATGTAATACTTTTTTATTTAAATAAAAGTAATGTTTATCATATTGTTTAAGATAGCTTTTATGAACAATTTATGTAATTTCTCTGACCCCTAAAAAACATATGCTCTAAAGTAACGAGATTCAGCATTTTAACATTAAATATATCCCTCTGACAGACATGACATTTTCTTCCATTTTTAATCGTTTAGTCCAACTGGAGCATGCACCTGCCCACGCGACTCCTCAATCTTCTGGTGCAGCCTATGACGAAGAATGTCTACAGCATTAAATTCCTGTGATGTTCCACCTAAAAGGGATGAATCAGTTAAAATAAAGCATTCTGAATTAACTAATATTCTCTCTTTACAAACTGCTTTTTTACCCTCAGTCTTCTTTTGTGTCTCTGAAGTCCCGTTTTGAACATTTTTTCTCTGAGCTGGAGGTACTGCAGGCTGAGTGCTCTTTGGAACTGGTTTGTTTTTGCTTGCATTCATATCATCTCCTTTTGTTGGCTTTTGCTTGTTCTTTTTCTTCTTTGGAGGCGCACCATCTTTAACCCCACTGCCTTGGAATGGAACTAAAGGGGGATTAATACAACTTTATTAATTATAATTATTAACAAAAAGGTTATTTAATACTTCTTATTATTTAATAACTGTACATGAATAAATAAATAAACCAACAGTAACAATTTCATCACATATGGAGATGACTATTCAACGTTAATAATTCATTAATGTGCTATTAACAATACAGAACATTACCATAGGGTCTTTTACGTGGCTCCTTGTTCTGAGACACACATACTTTACGTGTCAACTTCTCCAGGTAATCATACTTCGCAGCAAGGCTGGCCATGATTCCTATTTCAAGCACACAAACAAACTAATACATAACAAATACATCAATTAATAAATGTGGTAAGTGTATCATTCTGCGTTTCACTTAACGAAATATTTACCTCACAAAATAAAAACGTCGAAATCTCACCGCACAACTCTATTTAACTATATTTCAGCAGCTGAAGAATAAATATAAAGGCATTTTACCTCCCTGGAAATTACACACTGAATCGGATAAAAGCCTTCAAATGTGGACTGAATACGACTAACTTCACCAAATGTATATTCAGAAACATGCCCCACGTGTGTTTGATATTGCGCATGCGCATGATGGTTCAGAATCCCCGGAAATGGTTACATTGAAAGCATTCCCCTGAAAGCACAAGCAATGTTATGTAGTCGACCTGACAGTTGCTTTTTAGGTTAGCTACAACACTCCCAGCTATCATGAGCAGTTTCAGATTAATGCTGATGTTCTCTCATAATACATTTAAGATCATTCGAGGAAGTGTAAGTTCATTTTTTTTCTACCTCATAAATCAGATTTCCATTTCCATAAAATAATGTTTATTTACTATAAAAATGTTTGTAATTTATTCTTGACCGTTAAAGAGTGTAGTTCATATGGTCTTTTCTCAGATTCTCATCTCACCCAAGAGGACCCTGTTTGCGACGCGACTGGGTTTATTCAGGCGGCAGGATGCCCGAGTGCTCCGGTGTAATTCTCTTTACGTTTCTCTTTTACTAAATTCTTAATTCTCAATAGACTGACTACATTACCGTTCAAAACTTTTTAAATAACTGTTTTCTATTTGAATTTTTTTTTAAATATAGCATCATTCATTACTCCATTTTTCAGTCATATGAACCTTCAGAAATCATTCTAATCTGCTGATTTGCAGCTCAAGAAACATTTCTTATGAATCATTAAAAAAAAAAAAAAACTGTTGTGCTGTTTCTCGAAATTAAAAGAACAACATTTATTTGAAATATATATTTTTTAAAACAATGTAGAAGAATACTTTGTCACTTTTTTGTTATCAATTTAATGCATCTTTGCTGAATTAAATTATTAATTTGTGTTTAACCCCAAACAGTTAGAGTGAGTTTCTAATATGCTAGAAACTAAAATATAGCTGTCTTTCTTTCAGGCATTATGCTTGAACAAATCATCTGATTTTTAAAGTTTATTAATATTATACATTTTTTTTTCATAGGTAACCTTTCCAGGTTTAGTCAGCGCTCAAGTTCCACTGTTGCAGGAACGGAGAAAGTAGAAGACTCCTTCATGAAGTGGTTACTCTTGTTAATACCTGCCACCACCTTTTGTCTTGGAACATGGCAGGTACATGCATGAGGGTGGTGTTAATCTGTAAAATAAAACAAATAAAAATCATAACTAAAACTGCAATTAGCTTTTGATTTTGTAGTTAAAACGCAGAGAGTGGAAGTTGGAGCTGATCCGTGATCTTCAGAACCTGACGACTTCAGAGCCTATCCCACTGCCCATAGAGTGAGTCTGTTCCTTCACATCCGAGTGCCATACTTTCCAGTGTTATTAAGCTTAGACGTTGTGATGAAGTAGCAATGTAATCTGTGTGTAACAGTTCTATGGAAATCAAACAGCTGGAGTACAGGCGAGTGAAGGTGCGTGGGCGTTTTGATCACTCAAAAGAGCTGTATGTCCTGCCCCGCTCCCCTGTGGACCCTGAGAGAGAGGCCCGTGAGGCAGGCAGAATTTCCTCCAGCGCTGAAAGCGGAGCTAATGTCATTACTCCATTCTACTGCACCGATCTGGGGTAAAAACACAATCAATTTGAATTGCACTGAATTATATACACTTTCCTTGCACTCTAATGTGGGCGTAAAAACATTCTGGATCATTTTTTAGGATCACTATCTTGGTGAACAGAGGTTATGTACCCAAATCTAAGATCAGACCTGAAACCAGGATGAAGGGACAGGTAATAATGTCTTCATTAATCTCTACTCAATCAAATCCATGCATGAACATTTTCATCTATCATCAGGGTCTCACTGTATTAATTTGTCTGAGACTTTTGATCTTTCTAAATGTTAAAATAATATTTGACGTTGTTTATATTTTCTAAAAGGTGACTGAGGATGTGGATCTTGTTGGCGTGGTGCGTTTAACCGAGCAGCGGAAACCATTTGTCCCCCAAAACAATGTGAAGGCAAATAGTTGGCACTATCGGGATCTGGAGGCCATGGCGAATGCCACTGGTGCTGAGGAGATCTTCATTGATGCTGTGTTTGGTTAGAGATACTCTTAATTTAGTATAAACCCATAAAATGTTTTTCCCAGTGATCACATCAAATGAATGCAAGTCATTTAAAATCTTTTTCTATTCTTTCATTCAGACAGCACAATACCTGGTGGGCCAATAGGAGGGCAGACAAGAGTGGCCTTGAGAAATGAACACATGCAATATGTCATCACATGGTTTGTTAAACACATTTTTACTCATTCATTGTCGTGACTCAAAACATGCCTTACTTGTTTGGATTGCTAAATTTGATTGAGGTGAACTGTTTTTATTGTTAACAACTGAATGTTTATTTATTTTAGGTATGGACTGTGTGCTGCCACCTCCTACATGTGGTATGCAAAATTCATCAAGCGTATTGCTTTGTAAAAAATATCTTTGCTGTCACTTTGCTCTTGTGGAATATTCACTGTAGAATAATAAAGCTCTTTTAATGTTGAACCCAACACTGTTAATAAAAATGTGGATATGTTGTCTGATAAAATAAGAAATTAGTTAAAGAAACATTCGTGCTACAAAGGTTATAAAGGGGAATTATCCTCTAAAGTGGTTCTCAACAAGCCTCAGAAAAACTTTAAAGGAGGCCACAGGATAACACAATTCTGTAAACTTAAATTATTATATCAGTTTTTTGAAAGACAGCAAGAATCACAAAATATTTCTTATCAAAACAAAACTGTTTGTCAATAAAGTTTGAAAACAATTTAGTATGCAGCTGCTCTTGTGGTACTTTGTCATACACGTTGCAGCACTGCTTCAAGTCCAACACAGATATTGGTCGCAGCCAATAAGGACATTCACATTCTGGTGCTCTTCCATGTGGCAGTCAATTTATTTTAATGAGATGTACTTTTTTTGTATTTTACTGCACAAAATTATATTTTATATAAATAGTTATTCACTTATATTTTAGTCTATCATTTATTCACAGAGCATAGGTTGAACATGACATTTCCAACTTGGATAAATTTTAAATGCTTTGGCGTAGACTTAAGTTTAACAGTGTTTTTTTTAAAGATAACACTTGGGCAGAACATTCCTGAAGCGATTTTTTTTTTTTACTTTAGGTTATAGCATTTTACATTTGAAAGATTCACAATATTTTCATATAAAATATGAAAACATTTTACTCAAACTGCAAGAAAAATCAAGCCATAAATCTAAACTACTGTTTAAAATGAGCTTGATTTCAAAGAATGAGCTTTCAACAAGATTGTTTGGGCAGTACCAAAAGCTACCACTGCATGAAATTAAGATTCCCATTCATTTCCAATGCAGAAGTACTAGTGACTTTCAGAACAATAACCTTTATGAATCATTTCCATGATCGTTTAATAACTTCAAGTTTTGTACCATTCTGAGAAAGTAAAAAAAACCAAAAAAAAAAAAAAACACCATAGGGCTATGTGGACATCAATGGTTGTTATGGACCTATTTTAGTCTATGGTTGAAATCCAGCTCTATAAAGATGGCTTAATTTAAAAACACCCTGAGATGTGTATAAAGGTTATAATTTGCATAAATGGTAACCAAAATCATTTAGTTGCATATATTGACTAAGATGTAAAAAAAAAAAAAGAAGAAAGAAATATTGCAAATTTAAAAAGAACAAGTCAAACAAGATACTTGTGTGAACATTTATTTATTAAACAAGATAGGAACTCAACCCAGTTTAGTAGCCAGCTCCTTGGCCTTTGCCTTCTCGATTTTAGCAATGCGAGCAGTTGACTTGGAACCCAGGACATTGCCTCCCCAGTGACGACGGATCTGAGGAGAGAATTGAAATGGAGATATTAGATTTAGAAATCAGTTAGCAGAAAGCAATTTCGTTATACAATTTTAAAAATTATTTGAAAATAATAAAATGTAGTGTATAAGTTTCAGCAATTGCAACTACAGAAGGAAACAAACTGACCTCCTCATATCTGTCATTGTAGTTGGTCTTGATAGCTTCCACCAGTTTAGCAAGAGCTGCTTTGTCTTCACTAAAGAGTGGGAGGGAAGGACAACAAAACATTAACCACAAAGATCTTGTGTCCATAATGCCCAAATTAGTGTGAAGCTGCAAATCATTTTGCTCAGGGTTAAAAAGCTCTTTGAAACCACATGGTTGTTCAGTTGAAGAAATTCAGACATCATTGCCATAGGATGTGCAGCACTGGAAAAGTGAAACATGAACTTGTGTGTTACTCACGGGTTGGTCTGTGTGAAGGCAACAGAAGTGCAGGTCTTTCTGTGCACAAGTCTGCCCAGTCTGGCCTTGCCCTTGACAATGCAGTATGGGACACCCATCTTACGGCACAGAGCAGGCAAGAACACCACCAGCTACAGATGACAAATTAAACCAATTAAGAACTGACAAATCCCACATATCCATATCAAACCAGAAGGCAAAACAATTCTGAAGTTACAGAAATGCTCCTAAGAGACATTGAGTGGTTGTTTGCTCAGGGTTAAAAAGCTCGTATTTTTTATCTTCATTTTGAATTCAGGTGAAGAAATTCAAAACATCATTGCAGACAACCACAACAATTTATGTCAAGATGTCCATTCTGTACAAAAAAGAAACACACCTCAATGGGATCCACATCGTGCGCAATAACGACCAGCTGTGCCTTCTTGCTCTCCACTAGTGTGGTCACGGTGTTCACACCTGAAAAATAACGAGAAAAAAGAAATACATATATAGCACTGGACAAAGGGAGGCCTTAAAGTCAAAAAGGTTGAGAACAACAGCTATGTACAAATGTTCCTATAACTCAGGAAAAGATTTTTCCTTTCAATGTCTTGAAGGAAAAGACACTAAAAAAGACCCACCTGCACGGAGGACTGGTGGCCTCTTAGTGGGCACGTCTCCCTTTCCAGCAGCCTTCTGTTCAGCACGAGCCAGCAGTCTCTGTTTTTTCTCCTGCTTGGTCTCTGGCCTGTACTTGTGGGCCAGCTTGAACAGCTGGGTAGCTGCAGAAAGTTACATTTAAACCATTTTAAGTGTAAATGTAAAAGCCATTTAGTTTTTCAGCAATTATAATTCTCGCAACAATGCCAGGTCCCTCTAAGTTTACAATTTAGGACAAACTTAACCCAACACTAATTTTAAAGTACAATTCCTCCTAGGCAGCATTATACAACATGCAGTGCATCAGTGATCTTGGTGGAAACTGTCATCAACTTTTCAGATAGCAAATATTCTTCACATCATCTGCACATCCACAAAGTCAAATGCCACACGTCTAATAAAACATCTAGAGGCCAATCAAGGTTAAGGATTAACTGGGAGATCTATTGGTTCTCTGTAAAAAAATAAAACAGTAGTTTAGTTCCCTCCGGGATACACAATGCAACTGGAAGACTATATTAAAAATGGATCGTTAAAATAAATAATAAATAATTATTAAAAACATTTTAAATGAAACCTGTCCCTTCATTGACAGCCTATACAACTACTTCCCAGTCCCAGAAAAGCTATAAAAAGACATTAAAGCAATCCTTGTGACTTTATCAAGCAAAATGAGTGATGTTTGCACCAGCCTTTTTCACAACACTTTATTTACAAAATATTAATCTCCAATAAGCGTTTTTTTGCCAACAAACAGGACTCTGGTTTCTTCATAAAATAGAGGTTAAACTACTGGGATTAAATTATGTCTTTACTACCTTTTTTGGGACTTGAAAGTGATCATTGTATAGACTGTCAATGGAGGAACAAATCTATCAGATTTCATTATCTTCATTTGTGTTCCAAAGGGAAAAAAAAAAATCTTACAGGTTTGGAACGACATGAGGGGAAGTAAATGACAGGGCAAGTAAGAAAACCCCAAAAATGACAGAATTTTCATTTTTTGGGTTGGCTATCCTATTAATTATATTGTGAATCATTTGTATTATCAGGGTTAATCCATTGTTAATTTTCTAGTAAAGCACTTCAACTTTAAACAGAAATCTTCCTTTATGTTACAGATTAAAAACTATCCAATTAATCTTACCAGCACTTTTCCATTTTTAGTATCTGCAAAATCACTATCAGCAGCCTCTACATGCATTGTTGTACGGACAGCATCAGAGTGTCAAGACTCACCGGTCTGGCGGTCCAGAGCCTGGGTGAACTGGTTGATTGCAGGGGGAACCTTCAGACGCTTGTAGAGAATAGCCCGTTGACGCTGTAGCCGGACGTAACGTGGCCATTTCACAAATCGGGTCAGGTCACGCTTTGGCTGGATGTCCTGACCTGAAGATTAAAGCACATGACTTAAATTTACAATAAATGGCAAAAGAAATTGTAAATTGATTTTCAAACATTTGTGCATCAGCGATCTTGGTGGAAGATTGTCAGCATTACTGTTAAGATAGCAAATATTCGTTACATCATCTGCACTTCTTTGATGGTCACACACTTTAAACGCCTGTGTGGACTCAAATCTCATCAACTGTCCAGTTATTACTCACCAATGCCAAAGTTCTTAGGCCTCTTCTCAAACAGGGGGTTCACGACTTTCTTGGCCTCATGCTTCTTGGCCACTGAAGGGGCTGGAGCCACCTTCTTCCCCTTAGCCTTTTTCCCCTTAGGCTATGGAAAGACACAAAATTACTTGAGTCCATAATGAGCAGAAAATTCAACATAAACAGCATTTTTACAGCTCTTGCTCAGTTTAAAAGATGAGTTCTACATAATGTTCAGGTGAAGAAATTCAAACCATCACTGCAAAAGCCACACAAAAAAAAACCCTATGAAATGGTGAATACACCAACTTGTGTTGCGACATGCGTTGTATCAACTTAAGTTCTCAAACAATTATAGCATTGCAGATATAAACGCTTACCCAAAACAGCACTCATTAATCATGATTAGCAAATTATTAATTAGCAAAGGGGGTGTAATAATGTAGACTATACATGCGTTTAAGAAACACCAGCGGGCCGATGCGATTCATTTTGGCCTACAAACCAATGCGCTAGCATGTTAGCATTCGAGTTAGATTGCGTTATTGAGTTACTCGCAATAATTAACATTTCACTAAAAATAATAATAATAATAATAGACTGAGGCCGTTTTAAAACTACGGACAATGAAATGCTTGCTGTCTAAAGGCGTCACATCTCGAGTAACACTGCTGACATAAAGCGGACACTACACCTTTTAGAAGTTCTCATAATTCCTACTCTACATACTTAAAATGATCACAATTCTTGTTCAGAGATCAAGCGCTGGTGCTTTATTTTCCATAACCGATTTACTATGAGCCCTACAACAGCCTAAAAGACAGGATGCTTGAGGATTTTAAAAAGTGAAGGCTTCCAAGTCAAAACCATTCCACACTCACCATGTTGGTTCAGACAGAAAGGAAGAAGAAGAGCATTGTGGGAAATATAACTACCGCGACCATTGGTAATGACATCATTTGTACGCGACAGAACAAATGCATTGAAGTGATTTGTCTATGGATTTGAACGATTTGAAGCAATATTAAACAAACACACACAAACGAATCCAGTCAGTGTAATCATTGTGGACTTTTAGAAACAGTAGAGCATGATTAACTGTAGGGCGTATGAAAGTGAAAGACTCAAATTAAAAGAGGAATTACAATTCTCTGACATTACAGAATGTGCTAAACTGTTCTTATAGGTTATAAACACTTATAAGTCTCCTGAAAATAAAAAAAGTAATATAACAGAATATAGGTAGATTTTATTTTTCTTTCACCC